CCGGGTGGTCCCAGGCAGAACACAGGCAGAGGCTGACCTTGGCCTGCACCTCCTGGAAGGCCCTGTTACTGGTGATTTTGTCAGAAAAACAGCACCTGTTGTTACTGGTGAACTTGGACCTCAGTTCTTGAGTTCAGCAAAGAAAGAATTCAGAGCCAAGAACTCAAATTATAAAAGAAAGTTTATTTAGAAAGTTACAGAGATAGTTAAAAGTGAGTTGTAGAAGAAATGGGCTAAGGAAACAAGTTACAGAGGCAAAAGCAGGGCTCTTGGAGCTCAGAAAAGTGCACTGTGGGATGTGCAGGAGGCAGCTGATCGATGTTTTGCTCTCATATTGATGTTTCTCTCGCCCCCTCTCCCTCTCTCTCTACAAATCAATAAAAAATGTTAAGAAAAAAGAACAATAGCTCTGGCCAGTGTGATTTGGTTGGGGCATTGTCCCATGCACTAAACAGTCAAGGATTTGATTCCTTGTCAGGGCACATAGCCTAGGTTGTGGGTTCAATCCCAGCCTTGGTTGAAGCTTGCACAGATGTTTCTCTCTCTAAGAACCAGTAAACGTGTCAGCAGGTGGGGATTAAAAAAATATATGAATAATAAAATGTCAATAACTACATATCTATCAACAATTGAGTCTAAAAAACAAAATAGACAAACAAGCAGAACAGAAACAGATCTCATAGATACAGAAAACATTTTGACGGTTGCCAGATGAGAGGGGGATGAGTGAAAAAGGTGAAGGATTTAGAAGTACAAATTGGTAGTTACAAAATAATCATGAGAATGTAAAGTACAGCACAGGGAATATAGTCAATAACATTCTAATAACTGTATGGTGTCAGACGAGTATGAGATTTATCAAAATGATTACAGAGTAAGTTATATAATGTCTAATCACTGAGGTGTACCTGAAACTAATATAATGTATGTCAACTGTAATTAAAAAATAAAATATTGCCCTGGCTGGTTGCTCAGTGGTTAGAGCGTCAGCCTGTGGTCCGGAGAGGCCCGGGTTTGGTTCCTGCTATGGGCATGTACCTCGGTTGCAGTTTGTCCCTGGCCCTGGTTGGGTCGTGCGGGTGGCAGCCACTTGATATGTCCCTTTTACGTCGATGTTTATCTCTCTCTTTCTTCCTCTCTCTCCCTCCCCGTCTATCTGAATAAAAAATGGAAAAGTGTCCTCGAGTGAGGATAAAAAAATTTTTTTTTAAAGAAAAAATAATAGGGGAAAAATTGCAGGGGTATAAGAGAACTCTCTACTATTTTCTCAAATTTAAAACTGAGATAATCTGGCCAATGTGGCTCAGCGGTTGAGCATCGACCCATGCACCAGGAGGTCGCCGGTTCGATTTCCAGTCAGGGTACATGCCCAGGTTGTGGGCCTGATCCCCAGTGGGGGGCATGCAGGAGGCAGCCAATTGATGTTCTCTCTCACCAATGTTTCTATCTCTCTCTCCTTGTCACTTCCTCTCTCTCTAAAATCAATAAAGGAAAAAATAAAATAAAATCTGATTTAAAAATAAAGCCCATTAAAAAAGTGTACCCACATTTGCCTTTGAGGGACATCTGCATATGGTGGTAAGTGCATAGACTCTGTTGCCAGATTGCTTGGGTTCAAATCCTAAGCTGTCACATACTGTCAGTGGTTGGCAGCCTCCAAGATGGACCCAATGACCCCTGCCTCCTGGTAGTCACACCTTGTCTAGTCCTTGCCTGCACTGAATAGTGCTGCCTCATGTGACCAATAGTGTTATGGTCGATGATGTGTGATTTCTTAAGAGAGGTTGTAAAAGACCCTGGCTTCCTCCTTCCTCTTCCTCTTTGATCACTTGCTCTGGGGAAAGCCAGCTGCCATATTGTGAGGACAATCAAGCAGCCCTGGGGAGAGGTCCACATGGGAGGGAACTGCGTTCTCCCCCTAATAACCACCAACCATGTGAGTGAGCTACCATGGAGGTGGCTCCTTCAGCTCCAGTCAACTCTTCAGATGACAGCAGCCCCAGCTGACATCTTTTTGTAAAAAGAAAAATTTTTGTTGTTAATCCTCACCCGAGGATATTTTTTCCATTGATTTTTAGAGAGTGAAAGGGAGGGGTGGAGGAAGGAGGAAGAGAGGGAGACATCGATGTGGAGATTGGTTGCCTTCTGCATGCGTCTGGCAATTGAACCCATGACCTTTTGGTGCATGGACCAATGCTCTAACCACTAAGCTACACCGGCCAGAGCCCCAGCTGACATCTTGATGGTCAACTCATGAGAGATCCCCTGAACCCAAATTATGCAGCTAAGCTGCTCCCTGTGGATTCCTAACCCATGGAAACTGTGAACGATAATAAATACTCATTGCTTTAAACCTCTGTTTTAGGGTAACTTTTGTTGTTGTTAATCCTTACCTGATGATATTTTTTCATTGATTTCTTTTTTCTTTCTTTCTTTTTTTTTTAGATGGAGTGGAAGGGAGGGAGGGAAGGAGAGAGAGAAAAACATTGATGTGAGAGAGACACATCAACTGGTTGCTTCCTGCATGACCCCGACTGGTGCCAGGGATTGAACCTGCAACCCAGGTACATGCCCTTGATCGGGAATTGAACCCATGATCCTTCAGTCTGCCAATCTTCTAACTGCTGAGCCAAACCAGCCAGGGCTAGGGTAATTTGTTTTATAGCAATAGATAACTAATGCAGTGACTCAGAGATAGGCATTTTTTCCTACATAAGGACCATATAATAAATATGGTTTTCAGGTCACATACAGTCTGTTGCACATTCTTCTTTGATTTTTTTTTAAAAAAAACCCTTTAAAAATGTAAAAAACAGCCCGACCAGTGTGTCTCAGTGGTTGAGCATTGACCCATGCACCAAGAGGTCACTGGTTCGATTCCTAGTCAGGGCACATGCTCAGGTGATGGGCCCAATCCCCAGTGGAGGACATGTAGGAGGTGGCCAATCGATGTTCTTTCTCATCAATGTTTCTACCTCTCTCTCCCTCTCCCTTCTTCTCTCTCTAAAAATCAATAAAGAAAAAAAATGCAAAAAACATTCTTTGCTTAAGGCCTGTACAAAAACAGGTCATAAGCTTCCCTCCCTTCCTCCCTTCCTCTCTCCTTTCTTTCTTCTTCCCTCCATCTCTCTTTCTTTTTATCTCTCTCCCTTCATTTATCCCTCCTCCCTTTTTTCTCTCTTGATCTCTCTTTAACTCTTTTATTTATTCAGTCACTCATTCAGCAAAATGAGCACATACTCTGTGCCAGGCGGTGAGTGAGCTGCTGCAATGACATCTTTCCTTAAGACGGACAGATTTCCTGCTCTCCTGGGGCTCCCAGCCCAGAGGAGAGACAGTGAAGGTGTAGTAAAGATCCTAGCATGTCATTATGCACTGTGACATTACTCTGAAGGAAACAGATTGCAGGCTTCATCTAGCCAGGGTAGTTAGATGAAGAAGGCCTTTCAGAGCAGAGATTTTAAGAATAGAAGAAAGCAGTTCTGCACAGAGGGAACAACTTGTGCAAAGGCCCAGAGGCAAGAAACAGTTTGGAGTTTCCGGGGACCACAGAGGAGGCCAGTGTGGCTCGAGTGGAATGTGGTGGAGAGTGGGGAGACATGGGGTCAGGGAGGTGACAGGGCCCCAGTGCAGGGCCTTGAGGGCTGGAGTGTTATAGCAATGGGAGCCTAGGAGGGTTTTGAGCAGGGGTTGCTGTGACCTGATTTTCTTCTGACTGTCGTGTGCATTCTAGCAACTCCACTTCTTCCCCATGGCCGTTTGTCTAGCTTATTGATAATAAGGCTAGTGAATGTTTATTGAACACTTACTATGTACTGGGCACTCACAACAATGCTCTGAAGGGAGTGATGTTAGAGATGAGAAGACCAAAGCACAGAGAGGTGAGCTCCACAGCTCCAGCCTCCTCTTCAGGTTTCCTGCCATTAACTGTTTCCTCCCATCAACCTGGGCCTTCTACCTCAGGACTGGTCAATTCCTCTGCTGCTCAAAAGCCTTCCATAGCTCTCTGCTGCCCTTGATGACCAAGCTCTTTAACCTGGTATTCAAAGTTCTTTGTGACATCAGCCTGCCTGGCAGCCTCCCTGACCCCATCTTTCTCTTCTTCCCTCTCACCTTTAGTCCCTCCTTCATATGCCAAGTTCAAAACATCCTGGATGTTTTTCAGTCCCTCCAGCACTCCTGGGGTGTGTGTTCCTGGGCCCATATGGGCTGCTGCCTTGGCTTGGCAGGTCCCCCACTCCCACCCCAGTCCACGTTGATGAAACTCATTCATCCTCCTCTGTCCCTTGTCTTGCCTCCCCAGTTGCCTAGGGTTACCCATCAAGCTTCCATCAGGACCAGGTGCAGGGTGAGCACCAAATTCATTAATCAATTCATTCATTCATTCATTCATTCACAATAATTTCTTGAGCACCTACTGTGTACCAGCCCCTGATGTAGGAAATGGGAATACCACAGTGAGCAAGACAGATACAGCTCTGGTCTTGAGCTCACATTGTTGGGCAGGGGAAACACTCATTTAACAACCAAACCAATAGATAGCATATACAATAGATTTATAAGTGTTATTAAGGGAATAAAGCAGAGTAAGGAAAGAGACTGTGATCAGAGGGGGTCTATTTTAGATGTATTATTAAAGCAAGTATCTTGAGGAGGTGACATTTAAACACCTCCCCCAAATAAGGGAAGGGTTCAAGCCATGCAGACATATGGAGGAAGGGTGTACCTGGTAGAGGGGACAGTGAGTGCAAAAGTCCTGAGGTAGAAGTCAACTTGGATGTTGAAAAGACACGAAGGAAGCCAGCATGATTGGAATGGAGTAGGAGAGAGGGAGGAGGCAGGTGCAAGCAATGCCAGGGCAGGCTGTGCAGGGTCCCCGTTGAACATTGAAACAGGAACTTGGAACCTGGATATGATATTCTATGCTCTTTATCAGGGACTAAGCCCAGTGGCCTGGGCCTGCTTGGAGACAACCCCGAGAGCGGCAGAGGCCTCAGGTGTCAGGACTTGCAGCCATGGGTGCCCAGGTATTCTGAAAATTCCTCCAGCTGGCTCAGCAATTCCTTCTTTTCCACGTCCCCATTCACTGGCCAATGCAGGAGGAAGGTCTTCTTGCCCAGGACATAAGTGTAACTGTGGGCGAGGGATAGCAGGAAGGTGAGGAGAGCCCCAGAGGCATGGAGACTTCCCTGCCTTGCCCCTCTGCCCTGTCTGGCAGCCTCCCAGAGCATCAGCCTATAGTGTCCACTCCACAGGGCTATGTTGGGTCCCCAAGCTTCTAGTCCATTCATCTGGGGATTAAAAAAGTCTCCCCTTCCTCTGACTCTTCACTACCTTCTGTTGGAAACCTGAATCTACATCTAGATCTACAATGTCTCTACGTGAATGGTGTTCCCTGGAGTTGTGCAGTGCACAGTCTACACCTCCATTCAGTGCTGTTCTCAGACCCAAGACTCCTGCTAACAGACGCAGTAGAGATTTTGACACCAGGGACTGCGCTGTGGTAGGGAAGGGGGCCCAGGCCTGAGTTCCCAAGGCAGCAGGAGGCCCCCACGCACTCAGATTTGACTTTCCATAGGTCTGATGTCTGGCCCATGATGAGGTATGTCTCTTGTTCTTGCAGCTCCAAGGAGTCATGACAGGTGGCATGGGTGACAAATTTCTTCATGGTGAGTGGCATGGCAGCAGTATCTGTGCCTGGAGAGGAAGCCCAGTGTGTGAGTATGCACACGCCTAGCCCTCCCCGCAATGGGCCCCCCAGAGTAGGGACCCACACCATCTCTTCTGCCAACTGGGACATACCACTTTTGATGATGGCTTGGAGCTGCATGTTGAAGTAGATGTAGGGGTTGGAGCCAGAGACCTCTACAGCCTCCAGTCTGGCCTTGTACACTGGGGAAGGTGGGGCAGGAGGGCTTGTGTGGGTGTCTGACCAGCAGGTGGGCCTCCTCCTACCTCTTGCCATACCCGAAACTCACCGAAGTCCACGCCTGCCTCACAGGCCACCTCCTGGAGCTCTTCCTGCCTCGGCCAGCTGCTGTCCTTCCTCAGGGTTGGGCACAGTTCTGGAGGGTGAGGGGGCCAGCTGCTCTGGCTGCACTGGGGGAGGGGCTTCCTTCCATCAGACCCCCATCCGGCCCCAGGTCTCTGGGTCTGGCCTTTCTCCAATCTCGTGGTACTTGAGTGTGAGTGTATGTGTGCCAGTCTCTCTGGGTCTCCTTTTCTCTTTCTGTCTCTATCTTCCTATCTTGCTGTCTCTCTCTCTCTGCCTACACTCAGCCCCGCCGGCACTCAGGAGGAGAAAAAGGGCTCTTGGACTCTCAGTCTGGCAGCCCCGGCCCATGGTAGCCCCATGACCTCACCCTCAGCACATCTGCAGACTTCTTTGTGGCAGATCTTCCGCAGGTCAGATTGCTCTGTGGGCAGGTTGTAGAAGGAACTGCACCTCCGGGCTGTGAGAGGGGGCGCGTGCCAGGTTTGGCTTGGGGTAGAGTTCCCAGAGGCTGTGTGCCAGCCTGGCTCCGCCCCCAGCACTTTAGTCCCCCGAAGAATCCACACGGCAGAACCAGCCCCACCTGGCTCTGTCCAGACACCTCTCAACAAGCCCCTGCCCTTGGAAGACCCGTCCCTTCTTGCCTATCCCATTCTTTGCAGGCTATAACCAGTCCTTTCTAGACTCAGTCCCAACCCCCTCCAAGCTCCCCACCACTTTGACCTTTTAGGAAGGCCACGCCCTCTGTCACCACGCCCTTTAGGTTCCTTCTTGCTTCTCCCCTCCCTGCCCAGGATCCTCTCAGCCACGCCCTGTTTCCCCTTCATTGCCCTGCTCCTTATCCTCCCTCTAGCGGCTCCCCGGCAGGGACATGCTTCCACCCCCACCAACCCCTGCTCACAAGGCTCGTAGTAGTCATAGATCTTGACCTGGGCTGCCTGCAGGAACTCCGCCTGCAGCATCCTGTGGACCCGGAAGCCCAGCACCGTGTCTTCCTTGTGGGAGAGCTGGGGAAGGGAGCCCTACTGAGCTGACCAGGGCCACTGACCATGGGGCACTGACCACAGGGCCTTGCTCATAACCACTGACCACACAAGTGGCCTTGACTTTTTGGTAACACCCTCCAGGACAACCTTGTTGACCGTGGGTTTTCTGCCCACCAGGCTGCCCACAAGCCTCTGGTGGACATCTGGCCTCACCTTCTCTAGGTAGAGGACAACAGTGCTGTCGCTGGATTTCATCTTAGTCTCGTACTGGAAAGCATAGGTCTCCACATCATTTGTGAGCTGGGGCACAGGGTGAGGATTGCAGGTTAGCGGAGACTCCTCAAGGCTCACAGCCCCAGGAGCTCCAGTCAGTGTGAAGTAATTATCAGAACTCCCAGACTTTGTCCAATCAACCCCAGTGTTGGGAAACAGGCACAATTAGGGCAAGGATTTGGCTAAGGTCAGGCAGGGAGACAACCAGAAGTGACGATGGGGCACTGACAAGGGGTAGATTCTGTCCTTTGCCAACACTAGGAGTATGGGAGGTTGCCAGGGCACCCCATCCTGCTCAGCTGTGGGCAGGTGGGACCTACATTACCTGTTTGAGGTCATCATGGTTGGGGTAGAAGCCAGTGAGCAGGGACACCTCCATGATGGTCATTGTGGCCTCTCGATCACCCTGGAACCTGGAAATTTCACAGCTCCAGTGTCTCTTCCTCTTGCCCACACCCCCACCCCACCATGTTCCCACAGCCATCATCTCTCGCCTGACCAGTGCAGTAGCCTTCTCCTGGGTCTCCCCATCACTCCTTTGCCCCCCAAAGTATACAGCTTTAACAACAACAACAAAAAAAGTCACTTCTTTGCTTAACAACCTTTACCAAATGCCTTGTTTTGCCCTTCCACTTCACCTTTTCCCATCCCAGTTTTCATTTAATTGCTCTTAATGATAGTCTCTCTCTTGCCTCTGGACCTTTGCATATATTGTTCTCTCAGCCTGGAATCCTTGCTTCTCTCTCTTTGCCCTGAAACATCCTTTCATCTTTGCAATCCCAGCTAATGCATCACTGACTGCCTCTGGTAAGCCTTTTCTAGTCTGCACCAGAGCATTTTTGAATTTGCCCTCCTGTAACTTCTTGGACCTTTCCTTTGACACATTTAATCACAGTTGTCACTTTACATTGATTCTGGGCGATTATTTGGTTATTGTCTGTCTCCCCTGATAAGCTGTGAGCTACACCAGGCAGGGAGGGGCTACCTTGCTCATCTCTGTGCCCCAGCTCCTAGAACAGAGGCTGACACTCAGTAGGCACAAGTTTTTATCTAGGGCAGACCAGGGGGAGGGCATTTGGGAGACAGAGCAGGACTGGATTGGGGGAGATGATGAAGGATGAGGATGAGGAAGAGCAGCAGAGCTTGGAGTCAGCTCTGGGTATCTGGGGCATGTGCATTGTGGTAGAACCTGCCATTTCAGGACATGGCAAGGTGGGGGCTGGATGGCAGATAAGCATGGGAGGGCAAGGTAGGGGGCAGAATACGGGATAGGCAGGGGAGGGCAGGATGGGAGGTAAGATGAGGGGGCAGTCATGGAGAGGCAGGTTTAGCTGGTTTCCACCCTCCACTCAGCACACAGGGAGAGCTGCTAAGGAGTCGGGATACCAGGAAGTGAGGTCTTCCTCCCGCCCAGTCCGAGATCCTGGTGCCCTGACCTTGTTTCCATCCGGAGTTGGAAGGTCTCTTCCCCCTTTTTGTTTTCTGCAGGGAGAAGGAAGAAGTTTAGAGGCTGGGTAACATAGCCTCTGGAGCTAGCTTTCTGGGTTCAAATTCTGGTTCTGCTGTGTGACTTAGGGAAAATTGCTTAACCTCTCTTTGCTTTGGTTTCCTAATCTGTAAATGAGATCATAACATTTCCAACCCACTAGGGTTATTGTAAAGATTAAGTGAGTTATTACAATTAAGGCACTTAACAGTGCTTTATAACTGATCAGTGCTTTGTAATGGTCAATTATTATTATTATATTATTATTATATATTATTGTTATTATTATTATTGTTATCACATATTAAGAAGTGGGGCCCAAACCAAAGCCTTGGTCACTTTTAGTTCCTAAAAGTCCTGAGCCTGGTGAGATTTGTTCCTTCTTACAGTGAGTTCCCAATGGCAGTGTCCTCTCTCCTCCTTTGTGGTCCCCCAGACTGGGAACTCTAGACTTCCACCATTTCTGCCCATATCCACAGCCTCTGCCCTGGCCCAGACCTTAATATCTCCTTAGTCTCCTAGCTTCCACCCTTGCCCTCTACAGTCTGTTTCCCCCACAGCCACCAGAGGGAGCCTATGCAAACTCATGCTAGGGCACATTCCTTCTCAGCTCAGCAGTTCCCTATGGCTCCCACTGCACTCTGTCCAAACACTGAAGTCCTTACTGTGGCCCACAAGTCCCTGCACCATCTGCGTCCATCATCTCTCCAACTTTTTCCCCTAAAACTACCTCTTGCTTCTCTGTAGCCACTGACCTCCTCACTGTTCTTCAAACCAGGTGAGCTCATTCTTGCCTCAGGGCCTTTGCACCTGCTGTTCTGTCTGCCTGAAAAGTTTTTCCCTCAGATCTTTCATGGCTCACTCTCAAACTTCTTTCATGTCTCAGCTCAAATGCCACCTCCTCAGAGAGCTTATCCTGGACCTCCTCCAAGTCTGTGTCATTTTTTCCAGCTTTATTTTGTATGTTACTTATCATCAACTGCTATTATGCCATATATTTATTTTTACAATGTAGATTCATTTATGTTATAAATAAATAATAGTAGGATAATAATATGTTTTTAGTGTTATATAATTGTTTGTCTCTCTTTACTAGAGTGTGGGCTCCAGGAGAAGAGGGGACATTTTTCTTGTTTATGCCTATGTTCCCAGGGCCAGGAAACAGGGTGTGGCACATAGTGAATGCTCAAATATTTACTGAATGGATGAATAAAGCAATAAATGTGTTTATTGAACCATAGCTAAAATAAAAAAGGAGAGTTGGGCATCCTTGGGTCCAGGCTTACCCTCTGGGGCATCGTGAAGAGTAGCATTCAGGTAATATAGGTTGCAGGTGTCCTCCCAGGAGTCTGGGGACCTGTGGTACATGGTCAGGATCTGCCAGGGTAGGGAAAGTGTCAGAGTCCAACCGCACCCATTCCCTTTCCTTCTTGGTCCAGTCTTTGCCTGCCCAGGTCTCTACTCCTGTTGGGAATTCACATCCAAGTTTGCCCCCTCAATTCCTGAGTGCAGTTGACAGAAAACCCTATAGATTCCAGACCAGCTCTGTGTAATAGAATCTTCTGCAATGATGGCAATGATCTCTGTCTGTTCTGTCCTTATGGTAGCCACTAGCCACCTGTGGCTATTGAGCATGTGAAATGTGGCTAGTGTGACTGAGGAACTAAATTTTACATTGTATTTAATTTTAATGAATTAAAATTTAACTGAGGCTCAAGGAGAACTGTGACATGCCCAAAGACACACAATGGCAGGAATTCAACTTTGACTCCATTGCCAGAAACATAAGAACAGGCTGCCTTACATTTGGTGCTCAAGAGGGCTGTTCTCTTGGGCCCAGGGCATGGGGCCAGAAGATGTAATGGAGCTGCTGGCTCAGATATTGGGGAAGGGTGGAGTTAGCCTCTGGGGATTGGGAAACACCCTGGAGGGAGAATCTCCCCTTGGTGGGGCTGGGAAGGAGATACTACTTTAGGGACTCAGTATGGGAAGGGGAGAGGGGTCCAGTGACCTTTGACCTCTACCTTTTTTAACTCTTGACTCAGCAAGTAGAAAACCTTTCTGATACTCTATTTCCATACCTGTTGCACGGAGTCCATATTTTTACCAACTACCCTGGGGGAGGGGGTTGAAGTGTCTTTAGCTTGGTTCATAACAAATAGTAGTGCTCTAAATAGTAGTTAAATTTTTGCTGATTTTGATCTTGCCTTGGAGTCTAGACTTGCCTCTATTCCCACCAATGAGGGGGACCCTGGGCTCCAGCTAAGAATCTCAAGGATGGGACAACCGACCTACCGAGATGGTGCCTCTCCCGCTGCCACTGGCTTTGATCTCTAGATCATCTTGAGAATAAAACTGAAGGGAAGAAGGAGGAGGATTTGAGAGCAGAGGAAACAGCAAAACATGGCTCAAATGCTGGGGTGGTGGTGGTGAGGAATGATGGTTTTACTTTTCCTTCTTGATAGAGCATTTGTGGTGTCTACTCTGTCACAAATCAACTACAACTGTTGACTCAGGCTGTGTCCTAATGTACATCTCTCCAATCTGTCCACTTTTCAGTGTCTCCAAAGTTCCTGGTGTGTGAAGCCCCACAAGACCCTTCTCCCTGGCATCTCTGCATCTACTCTTGTTTCCCTCATATATTCTTCCCTTATGAGCCAGAGCAACATTTTACAAATTCACATCCAGTCTTGTCTCTCCAGCTTAAACCTCATTGCTATTCTTGAACACTTTAATAATTTGATACATCTTTATTGAGCAATTACTGTGCACCAGAGGTTGTTGTAGCTACTAGGAATATGGACATGAACAAGACAAAAAATCCCTGTCCCTGTAGAATTTTATATTTTGGTGAAGAAGGTGGACAATAAAGAGATGTGAATAATTAGAATATACAGTGTGTTAAATGGTGGCAAGAGCTATAGGGGAAAATTAAGCAGGAATAAGAATGAAAACATCAAGAAGTTGGAAATTTAGGTAGGATAGGCAGGGAATGTCTCACCAAAAAGATGACATTTGAGCAAAGATTTTAAGGAAAGAAAGGAGTGAGCCTTGTAGATATGTAGGCAGAGGAAATGGTAGGTGCAAAGGTACTCCCTGTACCAAATTATTTTCTCCTTTACACACTTATTTCTTTCCTTTGTTTTTATAGAGCTTAAAGTAGAATATATTTATTGTCTTACTGCCTTTCTACACAGTAAGTTCCATAAGAGCAGAGACCACAGATCTTTTATAACCTATCCCCAATGCTCAGGAGAATGCTTGGCATACAGTAGGTACTCAGAAAATGTTTGTAGAATAAATGAATCAATGCATTAACAGCATAGCCAATAATGTGAGATAATCTTGTGGAAGGAAACTGTCAGGGACATGATTCTTGGCCTCATATCCAATGTTACCCCTGTGTGGACTTCTTGTCTGCCATTGAGTGCTTTACCTTTGCTATTCGCTGCTGGTAAGCGTTCTTCTGATTGATGACCCACTCCACGTTCAAGGCTCTATTGGGGGCGCTGATCTGGACGTGGAGATCCTGGGCATCCTTGAAGGGGACAGCTTTACGGAAGCGGGTGAGAGCTTCTATGGCGACCACTGTGGTCTGGGTGTTGGGATGGGGCCTAAGATCAGCACCACAGACAGCGAGCGCCCCGGGAGACCACGACTGGGGAGTCAGCACCACGGACAGCTTCCAGTGGACTGTCTGCGGCAGCACCTTGGCTAGCGCCCTACCTTTTCACCCCCCCCCCCCAACCAGCCCCCCGCCCAGCTCCCACCTTTCCGAGGCCCCAGGTCACCTGGGTGGACTTGAAGCCTCCTCCCTGCTCCCGCTGCTCCAGCAGCCACTTGGCAATGGCGTGAGTTTCATTATGCAGACCCAGCTCCAGCTTCTGCATCAGCGCATAGGCAGTGGCCTCAATGGTGTACAGGGAGTTCCAGTCCCTGTCCTTTACTGGCCAGTGGTTTTTGTCTAGAAGATGCACGCCCACCTTGTTACGCAGATCTGGGCCCACCTACCTAGACCTGTCCTCTTCTGTGTCATCTGGCCTAGTTTTTCTCATCTGCTATTTTATAGAGCACTTACTTTATGTGAAACTCCTTGAGGAGACACATGGACATCATATTTTCAGAATCACTCTTAGAGACAGACTCTAACTATTTAGAGATGGGGAAACTGAGTTTCAAAGAAGCTTCTCTAGGTCCCTCTAGTCCCACTGAAAGGGAGTTCTCCTAACTTCATTCCTCTTGACTTGAGGAATGGAGAGGATGGAATAAGGACCCTTGGGAATGAGAGAGAGTAGGCCATGGGAGGAAGAGTCCTTTCAACTCCCCACATTTAATGACCTTTCCATCCTTGACCATGCCAAGCACCTTCCTACTTTAGGGTGTTTGCCATACCATTTCCTTAATTTGGAGCATCCTAGACCTTTCACAGAGGTGAGCCTTCTCATCTTTCATTTCAGCTGAGGGGGTCCATTTTTCAGAGACCATACCAATCCCCCAGCCCATAATTCTCTCCCCTTGTTATCTCTCCCACCCACATTGTATATTTTGTTTCAGCACTTATCTCAATTTGTAAATCTCTATTCGTTGTTTGCCTTCTGCCTGACCCCTTCCAGGGATGGTGGGAATTTTGAGGGCAGTGACCATGTAAGTCTTGTTCATCTTGGTTTCTCAGGGTCTGAACTCCAGAGGTGGCACACAATAGGTTTTCAATAAACACTAAATGATTAGTCACACATTGCTGGATTTGAGATCACATGATCTCCTTCCCTACACCCTCATAACTATGGTCAAAACACAGTTACTGAAGAAGTGGCCCCATACTCACTATGGCTGGCAAAGTTGTCCAGGTGGTCATTGGCTCGGGGGCTCTTGGTGAGGGCCAGTGCATAGGAGACTATGGCTATGGCAAAGGTTGTCTGGATGTCAGGAAGGCGTTTCTCCAGGAAGCCACGGGCTCTCTCCATGCTGGCAATCAAACTCTAGAGAGTCAGAGAGAGGAGGCTAGAGGGAGGTGATTAGAGGAAAGGAGTCTGGGAGTTAGAAGAGAATACACCAAGAAGGACATGTGGGGGAGATCCCCGGGTGCAGTGGATAGGGCACCCCTCAGATCCTGACCTCCTCTTTGGGTCTTACCGGTATGTCTTGGCTGCATAACTCCTTCCCTTCATTCAGGGCGATCAGAACAAGAGCTGTGAGAGATACGTCTGCCTCAGAGCCTCGGTAGCCACCCTGTGGATGCATAACCACACCCATGACCCCTTAGCATCTTGGAGACGTGTTCCCAACCTCTCCTGCTTGATCTTGAAAGGCTCTCAGGTGCTCAATTCTGGGCTGAATGATGCTGAGAGCAGGATGGAGAGAGAGAGAGAGAGAGAGAGAGAGAGAGAGAGAGAGAGAGAGAGAGAGAGAGAATCAAAGCCATCTTGAGATTTGCCTGTGTGTGACCTGCCTTACTAACATAAGCTGGCAGCCATAGAGAGTGCTTTGCCAAACTCGCTATGGAATCTCAGAACATTCTTGTAGCAGCTCCATTTTACTGATGAGAAAACAGAGGTTAGTTTAGAGAGTGGGATGTCAGGTTAGTGAGTGAGAGCCTTCATGTCACCCACCAGGAAAGAGTGGTGAGCACAGGGCATAAAGAATGCAGCAGATTTAAAAATGGGTGATGTTGAGAAAGGCAAAAAGCTTTTTGTTCAGGACTGTGCCCAGTGCCATACTGTGGAAAAGGAAGGCAAGCACAAGACTAGGCCAAATCTCCATAATCTATTGGAGTTAAAGACAGGCCAGACTCCTGGATTTTCTTACATGGATGCCAACAAGAACAAAGGCACCACCTGGGGAGAGGAGGCACTGATGGAGTGTTTGGAGACTCCCAAGAAGTACATCCCTGGAACAAAAATGATCTTCACTGGCATTAAGAAGAGTGCAGAAAGGGAAGACTTTTTAGCTTATCTCAAAAAAGCTACTAAGGAGTAGTACTTGGCCACCACCTTATTTATTCCTAATGTCTCATGACTTGTTTTATGTGTACCATATTTAAATTGATCTCATACACTGGAATTCAGATCATAAACAGCTGATAGAACATTTCTTTTGGGCAGTCCTGATTTAAATGATATTTGTTTGTGGGTAAGTGAATATGATCAACTTTTTGAACTTTGATGGTAATTTCATTTTAGCAAGTGCTATCATTGTTTTCCCCTTCTGGGCCGAAAATATTTCAGAAATATGATTGGACTTGATTCATAATGTTCAATTTTTCAAAGAGATGGTGAGTCCCATCTCAAAACCTGTAGGAGATTGGTTTTATATTTAGATTTATATAACTGGTTACATTAATATGGTTGAATACCGAGGAAATCTCTTCACTCTCTTAGAACAGCAAGACTCGCCTATGTTTCAGGTTGTGTTCGTTGGCCTGTTACAAGGCAAGGGCTCGGTGTCCACTTTATCTTTTTGGTCCTAACTATGCCAATTTAATGACAATTCCCTGTATCTAAACTGTTGCCTTTTACTTAATGAAAGGCTTTCTAGTGTGGTGTATGTATAATAAATAAAGAATATTGAACACTTCTCACATTTTATAAATGACCTATAAGGTCAGGCGCTTTTAAAGTCCAGTGTGACAAGGTACAATAGCAAAGTGTAAATTCTTTAAGTCAGACTAAGTTATAATTCAGAACTATCTTGAATAACTATTCAAAAACAATTATGTAGAATTACTGTATAAATGTGTGATCGGCAATGGTGCTTTTGCCAACTCACTAGGATTAAAATAGAGGAGAATAGACCAACAACAAAAAATTATGTGATCATAAGGCTTAAGACAATTAAAAACACAATCTCAGATTAAAAAAAGAAAGAAAGAGCCCTGGCTGGTTTGGCTCAGCGGTTAGAGCATTGGCCTGCAGTCCAGAGAGACCCGGGTTCCGTACCCGCTAAGGGCACGTACTGTGGTTGCAGTTTGTCCCCAGCCCTGGTTGGGTCATACAGGTGGCAACCACTTGATGTGTCCCTTTCACATCGATGTTTCTCTCTCTCTCTCTTTCTCGCTCTCCCTCCCACTCTATCTGATAAAAAGAAAGAAATAAAGAAAGAAGGAAAGAAAGAAAGAAAGAAAGAAAAAGAAAGGAAACAGGGTCAGAGAGAAGTCTTCGCATTCCTAGTAAATTACTGACTTGAAGTTCAAACTCCTCTTTAGTTGCCTAGCGTCCGCCCTACTGGGTTGAATGGTGTCCCCACAGAATTCATGTCCATCCAGAACCTTAGAATGTTATCTTATTTTGAAATAGAGTCTTTGCAGATGTAATTAGTTAAGAATATGTCATACCGAATAAGGGTGGGCCCTATACCTAATGACTGGTGTTCTTATAAGGAGGCCGTACAAAGACACACAGAAGCAAGAAGAGCATGTGAAGATGGAGACAGAGACTGGAGTGAGGCAGCGCAAGCCAAGGAATGCCAAGGTTTCCGGGAACTGCCAAGCTAGAAGAGGCAAGAAAGGATTCTTCCCTAAGACTTCAGAAGGCGCAAGGCACCTTTATTTTGGGCTTCTAGTCTCCATAACTGTGAGAATAAAAAAATTTATGTTGTTTTAAGCCACCTAGTTTGTGGTACTTTGTTACAGTGACCCTAGAAAACCAATGCACTCCCACAGCCTCTCCTCACCGTGGCCAACAAAGCCTGTGAACTCTTGAAGGGTTTTCCCCTCCTCTGCTCAGAACCCTCCATGGCTTCCACCTCACTCAGAGAAGTTCAAGTCCTTCCGTCAGCCTTCAAGGTCCTGCACAATCTGTCTCTCTCCCAGCTTAGAGTGAACAGCCTCCTTGTTCTTCCTCAAACATATTGGGCACAGCCCAGTTTCAGGGACTTTGCACATGTGTTCCCTTTGCTTGGAAGACTCTTTTTGTTGTTGTTGTTAATCCTCACCTGAGGATATATATATATATGTATATTTCTTATTTTTAGAGACAGTGGAAGGGAGGGAGTGGGGAGAGAGAGAGAGAGAGAAACATTGACTGGTTGCCACCCACACAACCCTAACTGGAGCCGGGGACAAACTGCAACTGAGGTTCGTGCCCTTAGTGGGAACCAAACCTGGGATTCTCTGGTCCATGGGCCGACGCTCTAACCACTGAGCAAAACTGGCCAGGGCTGTCCTCCCTTTCTTTGAGGGTGCAATCTGACTTTGCTGGGTTTGTTCACTCATCCAGTTTTATTCAGCAAACATTTGCCAACTACAATGAACTAGACCTGTTTCCCTCCCCAGTAGGACTCACAGTGTAGAAAAAGCAAACCCTGAATAGACTATTTTAAATCCTCACTGAGGTCCCCAAGGGCTTGCAGGCTTTAGGACCTGACATCTTTCCTCCCTCTCAGGCCTCAGGACAGACCACTTTCTCCACGATGTTTGGGCTCTGGTGGCACTGATCTCTTTTCTCTCTCCTCACACATGCCGGATCCTCAGGCCCTTTGCACATACTGTTCATTTTGCCTGGAGCTCTCTTACCGTTTTTCCCTATTCCTTCTTCAAGTTGCTGCTTTATTGTCACTTCCTTTTTTCTCTCTGTGTCTATACAAAAACATTTATTCATTTGCTTTAGGAGCTCGATCCACTGACAGCAGAAAACCTCAGTGCCCAGAAAACTGACAGCGCGTATCAATCACTTGTGGGGGACATTTACTGGGAGACATGCGGGAAAAAGGTCCAGTGATATGTCCTCCTTCAGGAGGCCAGTGTGGTGTGGCCACCAGGCCACCCAGCTCCTATTGCCACCCTGGCAAACAGGCATGGTCCCTTGTAGGGCTTCTGAAGGACTTGGAGGTTGAGGTGTTGGGTGGGTGCAGAACTGTAGTCTGTGTATTGTCACCTCCTTTGGCAGGCTTCCCTCGACACCTCCAGGGTCAAACATGGCCCCTATTAAGTATTTCCTCCTGGTATTTATTGCCCAAGGAACATAGCCAATTGTGATTTAGACAATGACTAGCTATAATTATGTGGTGAATGTCTGCCTTCCTCCCCCACCTCGAGCTTGCTAGGGGCTATAAATATCTTTTTAAACTGCTGTGTCTCCCCTTTGCCAAGCACAAGGCCTGGTACACAACAGTTGTTGGATAAATGTTTGTTGAATTGTTGAATGAGCGAATGAATAATGTGATAGGTGTAATGATACAGACAGGCACAGAACTGATGCTCAGGGAGATTTCCTGAAGGAGGTGATGTCTGAGCTAAATCTAATAAGAAAACATGATTTGGCTGGGTGAAGAAAAAAAGGGATGAGGTGTGGATATTCCATGCAAGTAGGGCAGCATAAGCAGACACAGAGGTGTATTGGAAAGACCCATGAGCCTGGAATAGTGAGGGGAGAGGCTTGGGAAGAGAATCAGAAGAGAGGGATCTAGTAGAGAGATACTGTTGTAGGCAACTTGAGGCAGTGAGGGTGTTTGAGCAGGAGAGACCTCCCAGTCCCTTTGAAAGCTGTTCTGGAGGCTCGTGGAGAAACACTTGGTAGGACTGGTGTGTTGGCTGGGGAAAGAGGTGGTGGGGGAGGAGGAGGGCCCAGTGGGAGGAAGGCCAGGATGGGTGACTGCTCGAAAAGAGGGTAAGGGAGAGATTGGGTCCTAGATGTACCCCAGTCTCCCTCACATTGTAAAGGAGTGCAGGGTGGTCCAGAGCAAGGGGAGATAATGCTGGGTGCTAGGCCTTGGCTGGTTCCTTTTCTCATTCTGCCTGAGAACAGGTCAAGGGCTTGAAATTCCCCTATCACTGCTGCTGAGCCCTGGGTTTTGTTGGAACAACTCAGGTAGGGGGGCGTGGGCACCTGCATGGACGCCATGATTATGGGGCCCTTCTCCAAGAAGTGCCCGTCCTCTGCCTGCCTCTGGGTGGTGATCCACTTGGCCATGTCACAGAGAGAGTGCAGGTCAATCACGCTGGAGGTCATGGTGGAGTAGGCCAGGGAGAAAACTCGGAACACATAGCTCGTGAGCCTGTCGGGAGGGCAAGGGAGGAAGTGATTACTGGGAAGGGCAGCCAAGGGGGTTCTAAGACAGAGACATCTACACTATGTGGGCACTTTACCATGAACCACACTGCTTCAGACTGACCCCCTATTTGTGCGGAATGCTCCAAGACCCCACAGAATGGGTGCTCCCGGGGTCTTAAAGCCCCAGACTGGTCCCCTGAGCTTCCTCCAGGCCAGTGTTCTCCTCACCAGGTGCTTCCCGGGTTTCCCTTGTGGATGTGGTAGGTGCCGTCCGCGCTCCGGTGGGTCAGCATCTGAGTATATCCTGGGGAAACAGGCAGAGGACATCTTGCAGGAAGAGTCAATGTTGGGGTGTGGCTGGGAAGTTATCAGGCATAATATGGAGGGCAGAGTGTGGGTGTGACTTGGGGACGCATTCCATCTAGGTACAACTCCCCGTAGGAGGGGACTTACGAACCGTGTAAAGTGGGAGCTGCCGGGCCCAGAAGTAAATGAAGGGCGCAGCCAGCACCACCACGGGAGCATGCGCAGTTGTTCCCAGGAGAAACCTGGGAAGCCGCCCCATCTGGGGCAGGGCGAACCTGGGGATCACTGCTCAGAGGGTTCATGGAAGGTGAAACTCAGGAAAGGGGGTACCCTGGGGGGCCACTACCTGCACATTTTCTTGGGGGTTCTTTTAAGGCTGCAAACTGGGGGTGTCAGCGTGTCTGTGTAGCTTCGAGGAGGTCACTCCTGGGTGTTGTCTGGTAGGAACACCTCTCAGGTGTATTCAGAGCTTGGCTATTTGAGTGTTATCTGAAGGTTACCTGAGGGTTTACCGGTTGAGTGTAACATCAGGGGTGACTGTGTCTGGGTGTCACTTGGGGATTGCTGTTGAGAGCGCCTGAATGGAGAGTTGGTGTCTGAGAGTTACTGGGAAGAGGGAGTCAATGTCCAAATTAACTTGAGGGCTCTGGGTGTAATTAGAACCACTCATCTCTGATTGTTACCTGGAGGTTTGGATGTCACCTGGGGGAAATATCAGTATTCAGGTGTAACTGGGAGGGAGTCCACCACCTGGGATTATTCTGGAGTTTTCTGCTTGAGGGTACTCTGGAGTTGACCTAGGGCTTGGCACTGACTGGACATAACCTGGGACCATGTCTGAATATAACATAACCTGGGGGTTGCTGCTTTGGGAGTAAACCAGGGTGTCTGTTGTCAGATTGTAACCTGGAAACAGGGTCCAGATTATAACCTAGGGGTCACTGTTGGGGGTTACCTGGGGGTTGGTATCAGGTTGTCATCTAGGAGAGGCATCAGAGTTTGGGTGTTATTGTCTCGGAGGATTCGATAGGGCCTCCTCTAAACCAGGGGTACACCAGTCACCCTCCCAGAGAGTCCCAGACACCCTCATCAAGGTCACTGGAGGGGACCCGCTCTCACCGCTGACAATGTTCTGCATCACTTGGTCCCTGTGCTCCACCCCAACCTTGGCCCACTGGCCTGTGGCATCCAAATATCGGGTCAGGATGATCACAGGTGTCAATTTGCTCAGCGTCTGCTCGGGGCAGCCAGTCGGGAGACTAAGCAGCTTATGTGTTTCTTTAGAAGTCAGGCTGCCCAAGATGGTCTCGCCAAGGATGTCACCTGTCAGGTGGACAGGATCACCTTGGGAATGGTCTAAGCCACCATGGCTTTCTGATCATTCCCACATGGCACTCCCAGCCCCTCCTGCTGCTGTGCCCAGCCAGGCCCTGGAGGAGCCAGCTCCCTCCTCCCCCTCCACATCCCCCCAGGAGCAAGCTGTGCCCTAAACACCTTGGACGCTGACAAAAACTTCTGCCTTCGTATTGGGCACCTTGTTCGAAAAGTCTGCTCTTGGCACCAGCTCCACCTGGGTCTGACCTGAGCAGACACAACCTTCTGTGACAAGGGGGTTCTGGGGATGGGGACGTCAAAAGGCACAGAGCCCAGAAGAAGCTGGGACTGCCCACTTGGCCTGAGCCCCCTGTTAAACTCCTCCCTCTGCCTTGGCATGTCCCCAGGATTCCACATGCCCCTTGCAGACCATACAAACCTTGAGGATTCAGAACGATGCTATGGGATATTTTTTCTATCTGCCCCCCTGCCTGTGGAAGGCAAGGAGGAAGCAAGTGAAAAACAATAGCAAAAACAACAATCACAATGATAGTAAGAGGAAGCATTGCTTAGCTAGTGAGAGCACAGACTCTGGAGCCCTAATATCTGGGTTCAAATCCCAACTCTTCTTCCTAGCTGTGTGATCTTGGGCAAATTATTTAACCTCTCTGTGCCTCAGTTTTCTCATCCATAAAAGGGAGAGACTAAGAGTTCCTACCTTCTAGGATTGTTCTGAGGGTTCAATGAGTTAAATTCTTAAAGCACTATATTGTAAAGGCTAAACATGTGTTTAGAAAATAAAGTATTATTGATGGGTCAAGCATGGGTTATGTGTAATTTTCACAGCTCTTTGATTATTAGTGGGTATGATGATTATCCCCATTCTGTAAATGAGATAATGGAAGCTCAGAGAAGTTAAGTGAATTGCCTAAGGTCGCAGCAGAGACAAGATTTGAACCCAGGCCTGACTCCAAAGTTGTGAACTGGGGGCTCTGTCACTGAACTTTCAAATCGATTCTCTCACCTCACTCCCATTTGGGAGGCCTCTTTGTTGGTCCTGGGCCCACCTCCCATGATCACACAGGGGAAGCTCCATTGTGTGCACTAGCAGTGTGGGGGCATCCATTACCTGGACCAAGAGTGTCTTCTTCACATGGTCCTGGATCCCATTGCCCACGACCTTGACCTCCACATCCACTTTGCCTATCTCAAGTGGGAGAAGCACAAAAGGCACCATCTTGGAGGAGGTGGGGGGTATGACCACCACCTGGCGGAATGGGGTTCCTGGCTTTGATGCGCTGCACAGTGGCTCCTTGTGGGGGAACTCCACGCGGACCTGGGGCAGAGTGGGCAGTTGGGGGTCCTGATGCATGTGTGGCCCATGACCCTAGGGTCACAGTCCCCTCCTGCCCCAATCCTGAGAATCCTGAATAGGTAACAGTAGCATAGTGGTGGTTTGCAAAGACCCTGCCTGGGTTCAAACCCCTTCTGCCATTTATGTGCTGTGTGGTCTCAGAAAGCCCTTTAACCTTTCTGTGCCTCAGTTTCCTCATCTCTAAAGAATAATAATAGCACCTATCTGGTGGGGTTATTGTGAGGTTTAAATAAGAAAACACCTTAGAAGTTTTTTAAAAAGGCCACCCCTTTGCTGGCCTTTTTGTATAATGACACCCTCTATCTCCTTTATAAAACACACTGACATATTTTGGCAGGAAGGGGAGGGCTGGAGGCTTCACCTTGACCTGGCGGTTCATGAAATTGTACAGCACAGCTTGGATCTGGACCTGCTCATTCCTGACCACAGAGAAGGGCAGCTTAAGATCCACAAAGAACGATTTCCTTACTATCAGCTCAAAGGGTTCTGAGATGCAGAGACCTGGAACAGGAGACCATGTCGAAGTTAAGCAGATGCCCCACTGTCCCAGGGCTGGGCGTTTGCCCGTTCTCTCAGCATTGGGCTTGTGAGGGTCACCTTGTCCAGCCTTGAGGCTGATGGCCACAAACTGCCACGTGGTCATGGAATCTGGCATGTTCACAAGAATGTTGTAGTGGGAGATGCTCCTGGAAGTAGCAGGGTAGGGTGGGGGCATCACTGAGTTGGTGCTGCCTGGACAGAGCCTTTGTCCAGGAGTTATGATAATTATGGAGGGGTCAGTGGGTCATCCCATGAGAGACATCATCACTAGAGGGTCATCATTTTGGAGAAACAACTGGGATCTGTATTCCCATCCAGGGAGGTTCCTATCATGGGACTAAGCTGAGAACTCATTGTCACCACTGGGGTATTGGCCATGATGGACACCCACTGATTCATGGAAGGGCCAGGGACCAGATGTTGGACTTGGAGGGGGGTCCTACCGCTGTCCATTTTTGGGCAGAGTAAATTTCCTCCAGAGCCAACTTTCAGGGAACAAGGTCCGGACAGGCAGGTCATCAAAGATGTCTTCAAAGTCTTCCTCTTCATTCACTGCAGGGAGCAGATGTGGGTTGGGGTCTCTTTTGTATCTCTCCCTTGGTTGGCCCAGCAGGCTCTTCAGAATGGTTCTCCCACCCAATCTTCCCATGGCCCACATCTCCCCTTGTCCTGTCCCATGGCACTCCATGCCCCTTGGTGGAGGCCCCCAACCCCATGCCTCCTGCCGTGTCCCCCTCACTTGTCCCCAGAAGCAGCTGATCCTCCCGGGCCTCCCGAGTCAGGGCTTCAGACAGATGGCAGCAGCTCAGGAAAGCAGCGACACAGGCTGGCCCATGGCGGACATACCGGATCCTCTCCTCACATGACAGCCCCACTGGGTTCTCCCGGAGTCCAGCCTCACAGCACTTTTGCTCCAGCCCTGTCTGGAACTTGTTCACTGTGGGCCAGATTTAGAGGGATGAGGAGGGACTGAGCAGGACCTGAGGAAGCTGGGAGCCATCCACCTCAATGCATTGTACTTGGCCTCTATTTAGCTATAACTCTGGCAGATGCTGGTCCTGGGACTTTGCCTGTATCTTCCTCCTAAAACTTCACATCACTGAACCCATATGGTGAATTCTGATCAGGAAGCTGAATGACAGAGAAGTCAATTCATTGGCCTAGGGTGGCACACATCACGGTGGTGGAGCTGGGACTAGAATCCATGTGACTGCGGCTTCCCCTCCACTCCCCTTCCCTCCTTCTCCCTGTCCTTCTTATTTTTGACAGGTATTGGTAATGCCATGTTTATTTATAAAAGATGCCACTTTGACTCCCAATTTTCATTATGTGTTTTTAAAACTACATCACTGTAGGACTTCCGGTCAAGATGGCGGCATAGGTAAACGCAGTATCGCATCCTCTCACAACCACATCAAAGTTACAACTAAACTACAGAACAACCATCATTCAAAACTGCCTGAAATCATGCTGAATGGAAGTCCTACAACTACGGAATTAAAGGAGCAGCTGCAACGAGACTGGTAGGAGGGACGGAGGCGCACGGGCTGGTCCCACACCCATATGTGGCGGATAAAAATCAGGAGGCTACGTTGGCTGGGAAGGTCCTCCCTGAGGACTGAGGGGTCCCTGTCCCACACCAGACACCCTGCTCAGGGTTCCAGTGCCAGGAAGAGAATCCCCATAACTTCTGGCTGGAAAAACCAGTGGGAACTGAGGCTCAGGGAAGCTGACACGGTTGGAGCCCCAGGCATCGCCTCTTAAAGGGCCCGCGCAGGGACTTACTGGACTCCCTCCGTCTAAGCTTGGAGGGGAGGCAGCTCGAGGGGCGCCAGAGACATACAGGGAGGAACTGTGCTGTTTGGCATTGGAGCGAGGGCTGGAGAGGGGGCTTTCTCCGGGACAAATGTGCTGTCAGAGGCCTTTGTTCCTTTGATGAGCCCTTCCCTGGGGCGGCAGACAGCCACCATACCTGGGACTCCAGCAACCTGGCTCACATTGGTTGCCCCACCCTGGTGATTCCCTGAGGCCCCGCCCCATCCAACTTTCAGGCCCACCCAAGCTGTTGCACTTGCTTCACCATAGGATTGGCCTGTCTTGGATCCTGCTTCAGGTTTTTCCTAAATTCTTTCAAACAAGCAGCATCTGGTCTCAGATAGCCCCATACCTCTCGTTAAGTAATACATAGAAACAAACACAGGGAGGCAGCCAAAATGAGGAGACAAAGAAACAGGTCCCAAATGAAAGAACAGAACAAAACGCCAAGAAAAGAACTAAGCAAAATGGAGATAAGCAACCTAACAGATGCTGAGTTCAAAATACTGCTTATAAGGATGCTCAGTGAACTTAGTGAGGGCCTCAAGAGCATAAAAAAGGACCAGTCAGAAATGATGGATGCACAGTTAGAAATGAAGGAGGCTTTAATTGAAATAAAGAATAATTTACAAAGATTCAGTAGTAGAATACGTAAATTCAAGAAGCAAATCATTGATTTGGAATATAAGGAAGCAAAAAATGCCCAATCAGAACAGCAGAAAGAAAAAAGAATAAAAAAAATGAGGATAGTGTAAGGAGCCTCTGGGACAACTTCAAGCGTGCCAACATTCGCATCTTGGGGTGCCGGAAGGAGAAGAGAGAGAACAAGAAATTGAAAACCTGTTTGAAACAATAATGGCAGAAAACTTCCCTAACTTGGTGAAGGAAAGAGACATACAAGTCCAGGAAGCACAGAGAGTCCCAAACAAGATGAACCCCAACAGGCCCACACCAAGACACATCATCATCAAAATGCCAAAGGTTCAAGACAAGGAGAGAATCTTAAAAGCAGCAAGAGAAAAGCAGTTAGTTACCTACAAGGAAGTTCCCATAAGACTGTCAGCTGATTTCTCAAAAGAAACTTTGCAGGCCAGAAGGGAGTGGCAAGAAATATTCAGAGTGATGAAAAGCAAGAACCTACAGCCAAGATTACTCTATCCTGCAAAGCTGTCATTTAGAATTGATGGCCATATAAAGAGTTTCCCAGACAAGAAAAAGTTAAAGGAATTCATCACCACCAAACCATTATTATATGAAATGATGAAGGGTCTTTTTGAAGAAAAAGATAAAATATATGAACAAACAAAATGGCAATAAATACATATCTATCGACAATGGAATCTACAAACAAAATGAGCAGGCAGAACAGAAACATTCTCATAGATACAGAGAACATTTTGTTGGTTGCCAGATGGGAGGGAGTTTGGGGGAGTGAGTGAAAAAGGTGAAAGGTTTAAGAAGTACAAATTCATTGCTAGAATGACAAACCTCAAAGGGAAAGGGGTTGGGGGATGGAAAGAAATAAACCAAAGAACTTGTATGCATAACCAATGGACACAGACAATAGTATAGGAAAAGGTGGGAGGGGGGCGGGACAGGGGAGGAGAGGGTCAATGGGGGAAAAATGAGGAACATCTGTAATACATACAACAATAAAGATTTAAAAAAAAATACATCACTGTAAATCATGATGTCAAGTTGAATGCTTCTAAATAAGCAAACCAAAGGAATGCACTTGAAGATAAAATTATAACAATTTAAAAATCTTATTGTCTGTGATATAACATATCAGAACATCTATAGTTAAATAATATAACTGATCATTACCATACACAAAACAATAGTTTATATTATAAACTTTCCCCAGGTTAGTATGATTAAAAATTTTTTTTTCCTTTATTGATTTGAGAGAGAGGAAATGAGAGGGAGAGAGAGAGAGAGGAACATTGATGAGAGAGAACATCAATTGGCTGCCTCCTGCATGCCCCTTACTGGGGATTGGGCCCACAACCTGGGAAGGTGTCTTGACCAAGAATCAAACTGGCGACCTCTTGGTGCACAGGTTGACACTCAACCACTGAGCCACACTGGCTGGACAGTTAGTATGACTTTTTAATATTGAAATTAGAGTTGGGGTTTTATCTCAATTTTTATTAAATTTTACTTATTTTCCTTTTATTTAGATCCACCAAGTTGTTAGCACTGTTCAAAGAGACTGAAAAATCTGCCCTGGCTGGTTTTGCTCAGCAGTTAGAGTGTCCATCTGTGGACCAATGAATCAAGGGTTTGAATCTGGTTGAGGGCATGTACCTCGGTTGTGGTTTGTCCCCAGCCCTGGTCGGGGTCATGTGGGATGCAACCAGTTGATGTGTCTCTTACACATCAATCTTTCTCTCTCTCTCCCTCTTTCTCCCTCCCTCTCTCTCTATCTGAAGATAAATGGAAATATATCCTTGGGTGAGGTTAAAAAAAAAGAGAGAGACACTGAAAAATCTAACATTCATAAAATACAAGATTTTAACACCAACCAGTGGTGTCTCCCATCTTCCTTGAACTTCAGGCTCAGAGCTAGATGTTATCCATTAGTGCTTAGCACCGATTTCTCCTTTTGTCTATACTCCAGCCTACATCACAGAGGCCTGACATCTAAAAGCCACATTTTTGCCCTGGCCGGTTTTCTCAGTGGTTAGAGTGTCGGATTGCGTACCTGAGTCCCGGTTCGTATCCCGCTAAGGGCACATACCTCAGTTGCAGTTTGTCCCTGGCCCCGGTTGGGGTCCTGTGGGTGGCAACCACTCGATGTGTTTCTCTCACACATTGATGTTTCTCTCTCTCTCTCTCCCTCCCTCTCTTCCTCCCACTCTATCTGAAGATAAATGCAAAAATGTCCTCAGGTGAGAATAAAAAAATAAAAATAAAAGCCACATTTTCTAGACTCTCTTGCTGCTAGAATTCTGGATGGGATCAGATTCTGCCCCTGAGATGCTCTGTGAAAGAGAAAAAGACCATTTCTCCGGTAGCAGTAATAGCTAATGAGTGGGCCTCTGTCTCTGTGTGTGTTTTATTTTTTTAATGGGAAAAATGCCACGTTCCACTATCTATCCACCAGCCTCATGAGAAATATTGGCAGAACTTTCCTGAGATTTCATGCATTGCAAGAACTGCAAGGGGTGATCCTGAGTCCCAACAAACAGCTTTCAAACTTCCACTTCTATAGCCCAGTCAAATAACTTTGAAAGCAACAAATTTCTATGATTAAATCCCTCCCTCCCTGCTTGAAGTACCTGGAATGGTTTCAGTTTTCTGTTTTAAGCCACAATAAATATAGTAGGTTAGGAAGCCAAGAGGGGCACATGCAGCTTTGACTCTGACCTGCATTCCTCTTGGTCTCCATAGTCTTCAGGGAGCGGCGGCGGCGGCGGCTGGGAGGCGGGCTCTGGGGGCAGTGCCAGTCTGGGGGTCAGAGGGAAGAATAAGGACAATTGTCAAGATCATCATCAACACCGATGATGATGTTTATTTGGTGCTTACTGTGTGCTCAGACCTTTCTGTGAATCACCTAATTTTATTCCACAGGTACCGCTGAGTCAAAATTCACCACTTAAAAGCTATGTGGTCTTCAACAAGTTATAACCTCTCTGGGTATTACTTTCCCAGCTATGTAAACCAAGTACAATCAGAATTCTACCAATGGGATCCTGCATATAGAAGTACTTAGCACAGGGTCTAGCTTGTAGTAAATAGAAACTATTAATTGAGCTATTTATAGCTGAAAGAACACACTCCTAGTTGTCCCTAGTATCCATTCTCCTCCTCTTATCTGTGGCAACTGAACTTCCATCTTTATATATTACTCAGAATAAAGAGTCCATTTCCCAGTTTCCCTTGCACCTAGGTGGGGCCATATGACTGAGTTCTGGCTAATGAGATGTGAGAGAAGTGTCCTCTTGTTCCCTCTTCCCTGCTTCCTGCTGCCTGGAACAAGGTTCTCGTGAGATGCCATCTTGGAATACGGCAGAACAACAAGCTAGAAGGAGCCCGAGTCCCACAATGACCTCTGGATGGTTACTGAGTAAGAAATAAACTTCTATCTTATTTAAGCTACTATTATTTTGATCTCTGATACACATGGACAAACCTATATCTTAACTAACACAGGGTGAATCACTTGTATTATTATCCTCATTTTATGGACAGAGAAACTCAGACTCAGAGAAGAAATATGACTGGCCCATGTAAGTGTCAAGGACTTGGATTTTAGTCCATCTGTTTGATGCCAAACCCCATGTTCTTAACCGCTAGACAGCATTACCTTTCTCCCTGCCACTCTCCCGCCCCCTCCCACTCCCCTGCCTGTACCTAAGCTTGCCTGGGTGTCCATGCCTGTGCTCATCTTCAGGTCCAACCCAGCATCCTTGAACACAGCAAGCCTGTCTTTCCCACTGCCTGCAGTGCAGCCAATGTCCTGCTCCTCCACCACATCCCAGACCTGGGGGCAGGAGAGAAATCGGGACTTGAAGTCTGTATAACCCTCCAGGGAAGGTGCAATAGTGCACTGAAATTCCTGGCTTGAATAATAATTCTCACACTATCTTCCATTTATTGAGCCCTTACCAACCTGCCAATCTCGATGCTGTGCTCTAGCTACTTGAATCCTTACAACCACCGATGTTGCTCATTTTACAGTAGAAGATGAAACTCTAGCCCTGGCAGATTTGGCTTAGTGGTTAGTGTGTTGGCCCATGGACCAAAGAGTCATGAGTTTGAATCCCAGTCAGAGGCACATACCTCAGTTGTGGGTTCTATCTCAGTCGAGGTTGTTCAGGAAGCAATCAATTGATGTGTCTCTCTCACATTGATGTTTCTCTTTCTCTCTGTACCCCTCCCTCCCTTCTACTCTATCTAAAAATCAATAAAAAAATATTCTTGGGTGAGGATTAACAACAACAACAACAACAAAATCAATGGAAAAATATCCTCAGGTGAGGATTAAAAAAAAAAGAAGATGAAACTCCAGCTAGAATGTCCAGGCAAACTTTTGACCCCAAATCCACATGTTCTTACCTTCTTTTGTGTGAGCTTGTGTTTACTGTTCAAAACATAGACAGCCTTGTCCACGGCCACCAGCCCCACTGTGGCTTCTGCATCACCTGTCACCTTTATTTCCACCTGGCTGTTGGGTTCCAAAGAATTGAAGTCGTCTTCATTTTTTAAGCCAACCTTCAGCTGAGACAGGAAAAAGAGATACATCATAAAAAAGGAGCTTATAGGCTACCAAGGGACTTCCCCAGGTCCACTTTCAGGTTCACAGCTCTGATGGAGCATTAGGGAACTCCACTAGGTCAATCCCAACTCCACACATTTACTTGTGTCATCTTTACTCCTTAAGTTGAGTTTTTTTTTTTTTTTTTTTTTTTTATCCTCACCCGAGGACATTTTTCCATTTTTTGTTCAGGTAGAGTAGGAGGGGGAGAGAGGAACAGAGAGAGAGAAACATCGACGTGAAGGGACACATCGAGTGGCTGCCACCCGCACGACTGACCAGAGCCGGGGACAAACTGCAACCGAGGTACATGCCCTTAGCGGGAACCGAACCCGGGTCTCTCAGGACCGCAGGCCGACGCTCTAACCGCTGAGCCAAACCGGCCAGGGCTAAGTTGAGCTTTTAAAGCCACATCTCTTCCTCTTACACTAACCTACCTCTAGGCTGGGAGCCCTTGAACTTGGGCAGTCCCTCTCCCGAAGTTTATGATGGTTCTGTACAACTTCAAGAAGTTTGACTCACCGTCCCCATACATCTGTCATTCACATCGATCCATATGGAATCAGCCACCAGTTCAGGGTCCTGGCCAGTTCCTCTGGGCAGTAGATAAAAAGCCAGGATGCGGAAGGAGGGCAGCATCTCTGAAGTCACATCAATAATGGTTGATGTGTAGACACTCCCATGACTTCTTAACTGATTATTGGCAGACACAATATGACCCTTACTCAGGACCTTAAAAACAAGGAAGGTCAAGGATGAGAAGGGTAGAGCCAGCCCACAAAAGATGTCCTCAGTCCCTTTGCTTCAGTTCCTTGGCCTGAGCCCACCCCAAATGGTTCCCACCTTTACACCATTGCTCATAGTTCCTCCAATTCAGCTACCTAAGATTATTCCAGGGAAAGAATTCCTTGACCCAAGCCCTAGTCCTAGTCCCTCACCAGGATGGTGAAGTGAGTGATCTGCTCCTCGGTTGCAGGGTTCTCATGCTTTGTGTGGAGGCTCAACTGGAGGTGGCTGCCAACTTCTGTGCCAAATGTCTTCACCTCAATGTGCAGGAAGTTCCCTGAGCCATTCTGAGTTGAGTAAGGCCAAGCCGTCATCCTGGCTGATGCCTGATCCTCTGGCCGAAGAGCTTCATCAGTTTCCACCTGGGGAGATTGAAAGGCAACTAACTCTCAATTCTTTCAGTTTATACAACCCCACCATTTCTGCCCCATCAGACTGGTACCAGAAGAGGGAGCTGCTTCATATTTTCATCTGTGTTGATGGTCAGAATGGCTACCCCACTGTCTGTGGTGCGCTTTTTCTGGTCTTGGTAGCGAACGAAGATTTTGGAGGCTGGGGACCCATCAGGATTTGAGACGAAGACCTGGGGTAGAATGTGGGGTGAGACAAAGGACTGGCCAGGAGTGGCCTGGCATGAGAGGTGGGAACTGGGGATGCAACCTGGATAGGACTGCCTTGTACAGCTGTGCAAGCTGTGCACCGAACAACACCGGGGATACTCTTCATACTAGTCTTTATTGAAAGGCAACCCCTAGGGTGTTACAGTGCACAACCATATGTGGTGGCCCTGGGTATTGGTGTGTCCATGGGGTGAGGGTAGGGTGGAATTGGGGGTAGACATAGAGGAGACATGGAGGAGTCATGGAGGGCTTGGGGGAATACAGTAAGACTCGTACTAAAGTAATGCCCATCAGGCATCTCAAGGCCACCCCAAATGAATGTATGAGGAAACAGCATGCTTGCTGTGCAAATGTAGCCTCAAGATAAACCCCTAAGCACCATGTTCCAGCCTGACTGTGACTCCCAGACCCCCATAGAGAAATTACAGAGCTATCACTATACTTTGGGAAGAGTTGGATTAGGACTTGAGGAAACCTTGGGACTAATCTGGGGGGCATGATGGACTAAGCTCTCAGAAAGATGAGTTGTTGGGGGCAGGTGAGTTCAGTGTGGATTTTTATTTCCTGGGGGTCTGTTTGAGGGTGGGGCCCCTGAGTTCTTGGGTGGAGTGAACCCAGATCCTGACCCTAACATGGAAGGGCATCCCCGGCTTGAAATACTGGGGTGTCCTGATGAACTTGATGTTGTATGGGCTCCGGACAATCTTCACCCCTGAGGTCTCGGCCTGGACCATCTCACCCCCTGTGGAGACAGGGGGATTATGAGGTCTGTGGAGGAAGTTTAATTTCTTGGGGGGGGTGGCAGGGCTGCTGGTATGGGAGGTCCATCCTGGTGATGACAGGGAAAGTCAGTAACACAATTTTAACTCCTGCCAGCTCTTCTGGCATTTTCCCATTTCTCTGATGAGGAAACTGAGGCAGGAGGTTGCCTGAGGTCATGTGGGCAGAATGTCTGGGCTGGGCAGGAACACAATGTCTTGAACTCAGCCATGAGCCTGTGTAAGGGTAGCACCTGAGGAGAACACGGTGACGTTGACAAAGATTGAGGCCCCTATGAAGTCCTCTTCTGGACCTTGGAATGCGGCCATCAGCATGTCCTTTTGAAGGGAGACGTGACTCTGGCCTTTAGAGATCTGCTCTCAGGACAGGAGAGAGGAGAAGAGATGAGATGGTTTCTTGGAGAAGTGAAGGAGGGTTAGGAAGAGGGGGAGGCTGGGGAAGGGTCCAGACTTGTTTACCTCCACCCTCTGCAGGGAACTTTGAATGAGGATCCGGCGGGAGTCCAGCTTTACCCCAAAGATGGCTAGAGCATGTCCGTCCACTGGCTTGTTGAATATATACCTGGGGGATAAAGAGCCCAGGTATATATTCAACTGGTTCTGAAGTACCCACACAACCTCATGTGGCTGCAGATCTCACAGGGCTGCAATGATGCTGTGCAACTTTCAGAGGGGCAGAGGTGGCCCCTGGTTAGATGGTTTCATTTCTGACCCACAAAATTCTGAGAGGTGACCAATATATCACATAAAGCCTTGTCGGGTTGTAGATGTGGCTTGTGTAACCTCTTGAGATGCTAGAGGTAACTTGTACAAGCATATGGAGCCACACGGAAGTCTGGACAACCCGTGGGGTGGCAGAGGTGGCCTGTGCAACATGATAAAGCTTCAGGAATGATCTGTATAAGGTTAGAAAGTGGCAGACGTGGCCCTTACAAGGTCAGGTGGACAATGGCCTACTTAATCTCACAGAGTTGTGGAGATGGTCTGTAAATTCCACAAGGCAGCAAGTATGGCATTTGCAATTTCATAAATCTAAATAGATTTATGCCAAAGGCACCTGTGCAACCTTGTGGACCTTCAGAGATGGTTCAAACCATGAGGTGTGTTACACTCCATTAGGTAGACAAGGTGGCCTGTAACAACTTTAGAAGCCAGAAGGGATGGTCTGCATAATCTCACAGGTGGCAGATGTGTTCTGTACAATCTCAAGAATATCTCATGGGTGTCAGAAAGTACCTGTATCATACCCAAAGTGCTATAGAAGTGGCCCACTTCTGCCCTGGCCGGTTTGGCTCAGCGGTTAGAGCGTCGGCCTGTGGTCCAGAGAGACCCGGGTTCGGTTCCCGCTAAGGGCACATACTTTGGTTGTAGTTTGTCCCCGGCGGGCTCGGTGGGAAGTGGCCCACTTCTTACTACCCTTCAGTTTCTTGGTGTTCTTGGTCCTCTGGCCAGGCTAAGAGTAAGGGGACTCACCAAGCTTGGATTTCCACACTCAGAGCTTCATCACTGAGGTAGAAGAAGGTCTTGTTTGGGATTAGCCGGATCTCAAAAGAAGGGAGCACTGGGTGGAGTGAAGGCAGTGGACACCCTCAGCAATTCACCATCCTGCCCCTCATCCCCTCCCTATCCTACTCCTTCCCTGGTGACTCTGGCAAGCCCCAAGAGCTGAAACAATGGCCCTGTTCACCAGCACCCAGCTCAAGCCCTGGCACACAGTAGGTGTGGCACAGACCTCCTCTGCACCTCCAGCCTGTATCTGGCATGTCCCACCTGCCCCCTCTCCCCCCGCTCACCATACTCCTTCACGTCAAAGGTCGCTTTGAACTTCTGTTTGGCTGCACTTTGGTAACTGGCTTCGATGCTCCAGGTCCCAAGACTGAGGCACAGAAAGTTAGGAGAGATGAAGACTGAGGAGACCCTCCCTCCCTTTATCCCCAGGGCCTCCCAGCACCTGATGAGCTCTGGGAGGTAGAAGGAGCTCGAGAAGAAACCTCCATTGGCCAGAAGATCCTGGCTGATCACGGTGATCCCTTCTGGGTTCTGCGGGGATAGGGGGTAGGTGTTCATGCTCACAGGCTCTCAGCACATGATATAACCCCGGTGGCCAGGATCCACCCTGCCAACAGGAGAGGCCACCTTGATGTCCAGAGTGAATGTCCTGGTCACAGGATCCATCTTGTGGTTCACAGTGAACACCCGGTATTGAACTGGAGGATGAGGGAAGACTCTGAGTGTTAGATAGAATTTGAAGAGGGGGTGTAGTAATTATAATCTTGGGCAATGGGGAGACCTTGGGAGGTGGAATATGTTGGACATTGGGGGAGGCTGGCAGTGAGAGTCAGTGTCTGCCCCAGGCCAAGTGCCCAGAGGCTGTACCTATATGCTCAGGGGTGTAGATGGTCTTGTCTGTCTGGATGAAGATGTAGCCAGCATGGGGAGCCACCAGCACAACCTTTTTCATAGATGAGGAGGTGGAGGTGGGGGCCCAGGTTGCCCAAATGATGACATGCTGCTGCCCTGGTTGTGGGGGGTATACCAGGCTCTCGGGAATCTGGGGAGAGATGCCCACACTCCTCAGGCCCTGCTGGTGTCTCCATCCCTGGGAGCAAAGCCCTGGGCCAGATCTTGGGAGAGGCAATTGAATGGGGGCCCTCTGGCTCTGCCTTTGGAGTTTGCTCCTGCACCAAGACATCCCTCCAAACAGATATAGTCCAGTCCATGCTCCATTTTCCAAGTCACCAGCAGAGGACACTTTTTATTAATTAGCGCAGAGGCATTGTGTGGGCGAATTATGGCCCTTCTTGGAGCCTGGATTTAAGGAATTTGGGATTTCTAACTGGACAGAACGTAAGAGGAGCAATAAGTATATCCAAGCCCTGTGTCTTTTTTCTAGTGTTTTTTTTTTTTTTTTTTTTTTTTTGTGGGGGGGGAAGTCCCTCTAGAGTCTGTCCCTCTCCACCCTTATTGCTGGCCCAGAACCTCCCTTTGTGGCCACCCATCCTGGCCTGTCACCTACTGTCACAGACGCCTTGCACATAAAGTGGTTTTCTGGTGAGAGAATGAGCTGTCTTTTAGCCACCAATGTCTTCTTCATGAAGAAGTCCCACACAGTGAGGTTCACCTCGAGGGTCCCAGTAAGGGGCTGCCTGGAGTCCGAGTGAGCCTGTACGTGGATGTCCTCAGGGCTGCCGACCCGCAGGACTCGGGGGGTCACCAGGATATATCTGTCGGTAGACAAACACAGGGGCACAGGGGGATTCCAATGGGGGAGGAAACAGCAGAGACAGATGGGGTCCTATGCAGGGAGTCATGAAGATGACAGATGTGTAGGCAGTCAGCAGTTCCTCTTAGTTTCCCAGACTCACAGTGGCTCGGCATGGGTGAGGGGGGTCCCCAAGAGGAACAGAATCAATCCCAAGGACCAGGGCACGTCCATGGCAGTGGAAGAGTGATGTGGAGCCATGGCCACAGATGCCTGTCCTCTTGTCCAACTGAGCTTTGGTCTGTTTGCCTTAGCCTGTCCTGGCTGAGTTAATATTTAAACAGACAGATGTGGGGAGGGAATTCCCATTAACCCAATGGAAGCAGAGCAGGCTACTCCTCCCTTCTCAGCCAAGTCTCCTTTGGGGGCTGGGGACAACTGCATGGAGAACTGTTCCAGCTCCCTGCTTGAGAGGCCGAGTGGTAGGGGGCTGTCCTTTCCATGAGCCATGGGATCCTATCCTGAAGCCCCACCTTTGCCCAACAAGAAGTCTGGGCCATGTGGGTCAGGGCACTGGACTCAAGGCTTGATGGGGATTGGCCAGAAGGGGCAGGAGGAAATAGGATTGTTTCACCTCTGTCCTTATAAAATTGGCAAGAGTTTCTGGGAGCAGTGCAGGCATAATATATTCATTTCCTAATCACAGGCTGGAGTAGCCATCTGGTCCCAGGATCCACCATAATAGAACCTTCTGAGAAATACACGGGTCAGATCCTTTGCTCTTGCTCTTTCTGCACCCAGCATGCACTGCATGATTTTCTCCTTCCTGGCAGGAGACAATTATGCTTAGTAAACTGTGTCCATTGTCCATTGTCTCTAAATCATGCCAAGTTCTCTGGGCTCCTTTTCCAAAGGCAAATTATACATATTAAACCAGGAGACAAAAACACATCATGCTTGAAGCATTCCTGGAAGAAAGCTTTCTCTGTTCTGAAACAATTCTCTCTGGCTGTTAAACATGCCAATTAAAGATGTTGAGCCTGCTTCATGGTGTTTGTCTCTTAGAAGCAGGTGGGATTGAAGACAAGGTTGTCTGGTTTTTCCTTCTGTGAAATCAATACTGCTAGTATGGGAGTCTTGCCTATTGGAGGGCCCCAGATCTTCCCAAACAATGATAATATACATTTATCCAATAAAGATTCATTAAGTATTTACTAGGATCTCAGCCCTATTTAGCATGCTGGGAACACAGCAGTGGCCACAATCGACAAAATCCCTACCTGTGCGGAGAGTACAGTGACTGAGATCTTACTAAGGGCCTCAGGTGCACTTGCTCCTTAAACCTCTTAGCCTTATGTAAATTACATTCAATGCATGCTGATTTTCCAGACTATCTTTGTAGAATACTGGAAAACTAAGTGTATTAGAAAAGAGGGAGGCAGGTGGAACCCAGGCATTTATTGAGCACCTACTATGTGCCAGACGCTATTTTACAGGCTCTGTGTACATTCACATGTCTCACAATCATGCAGAAGTAAGAATTAGCACCCATTGTAAAATGAGAAAACTGAGGCCTCAGGAGGGTAGGCCACTTCATGCCCTGTGGCACGAAGATGGGCTAAGTGGATGGGTAATACCCACAAGTCTATGGTAATCAATCTCTTTTGAAGCAAAGAATCAACAGAATCAAATTAAGGCCTGGATCGGCGAAGCAGATGACACCTAATTTAGAAGGTTCTAGAACTTTGGTGTTCATTTAGGTGGCATGTTCCATCGCTGTCCCAGGCTCTCAGGGAATCTCTGCTGATTCTGTTTAGCATTCCCTTGGCTGGGGTGAGCTTTCTCTTTCACACCTTTGTCTCACTCCAGGTGTCCATGTCCCCCCTTCTCTGTCCGGGGCTCCCACATGTCTGGAACAGGGTGTTGTCCAAAGGCAAGTGGCACAGAGACTCTACCCTCAGTTCCTCCCCATTTCTTTCCAGGCTGGGTCCTTCCTGCAGTGGCAATGGCAGGGGCTCTGTCTTTCGAGTGTGAATCTTCCGGGTAGGCACATCTGAGCCTTTTTTGAAGCATACTCAGGCCTGTGGCTCCCTTGAGTTTTTGTTTGACTTGGAGGTGGTCCCAAGGGAAAGGGAAAAGTTCGCTTGGGTGCTGATGAACAGAAGAGGAGACAGGAAACGCTTTGAAAGGAAACAGGGGTGGGGGGTGTCTGCAGGGATATGGCCTCGCTATCCAGTGAAGAAATGAATGGAGGCAAAAGTGGGTATTGGTGAGTGAGTAATAGCAGAAATTCACATCTCACACATCTGTTCCCTCTATCCCACCCCAACTCCAGGTCCCCCCCAAAAATGATAAGAATTTTTCAATTAGTTTGTATAGGACACCTATTGTGTACCTGGCTCTGGGAACACAGCAGTGAACCGAACAAAACCCTCATCCTTTTGGATAGTCACTGTAGCCACATTCACCAGGACTGTCTCTTTTAATCCTCTCAGCAACTTAATAACCCACAAACCCATTTTGCTGATGGAAAAACCCAGGCACTGGAAGGTGAAGTGTCCTGCTCCAAATTTTGCTGCTAGGAAGCTGAGGCACAGAGAAGTTAAGTGACTTTCCCAGGGTTACACTGCAGTTAAGTGATGGAGCTGAGCTCCTGAACCCCGGCTTAAAGAGGGAGCGGGAGGATGATAAGAGGCGGGGAGAGTGGCTGTGGGCTTCACCCTGTCCCCTCCAGCCATCAGTGGTCAAGTCCAGGCTCTCGCTTAGCCACGAGGGAGCGCCAGCTAGCCTCGGGTCAGACGCCGAGTAGCTGCTCGGCCTCCTCCCGCAGGAATGCCGGTGGCGGCGGGCGGGGACATTGGCCGCAAGCCCAGAGCAGCTGCTGCTGCCGCTTAAATTCCGCCAGACTTCATCTTCTGGAACCCTGGGTTTCCTGCGAAGAGGCCGGGGCGGGAGGACCGGCCTTGCAGGGATGTGTGGCCTCTGTTTTCGCCTCGGCGTCCTCCTCCTCTTTCTCCCCTTCCTCCTCCAGGGCTTCCAGGAGAGGCTTCCCGGGAAAGGCTGGGCTGGACCCAGGAGGCAAGGAATAATACCCATATGAACATCACAACGAAACAGTTACTAAGTTCTGGCACTTAGTAGGAAGTTTCTCTCCAGCAACGCCTCTGTTTTACAGATGAGGAAACAGGCTCAGAGAAGTGCCCTTTCTGGCTCAGGTAGGAGGTGTAAAGAGCTTTTTAGCTGGGACGGTGTGGCCAGGAGGTGCCGAGCTTGGTCACTTCCAGTCCCAGCTCAGGCTCCTTGGGTGGTTTCTTGGTTCCCAAGGGCTTCTGATCACTCCACTTGTTTTCCCCAAGGCTTCAGGAACTGGCCTTGCTCCCTGACCCCTAGGAGCACTGCATGCCTCCCCTCCTGGTCCAAGGAGGTCTTGGCTGGCAGTGAGAATTTTCAGAAGAAGCTTGTGGCTAAGCCGGGAGGAAAAATAATGCAGCAGTCATTTTCAAGGTTAATTACTGGGTCTGCAAAAGCACCGTGGAATTACAATGATATCTGCCCCTACAGAGCTCACAGCCTGATCAAGGAGAACTACCCATAAACAAGCAGTTGTGAGGGCCCAGAGGAGCCTCCTAACCCAACTAGCCTGGGGAGTCAAGGGAGGGTCCCAAAGGAGGTGATATTTAGGCTGAGACCCGAAAGTCTTAGTGAAGTAGGAGTAATCAGGTGAAGGGTTAGGGGTGGGAGAGCGAGGACAGTTTTGTTTCTGGGAAAAGGAGCAGCCTGTGCAAAGACCTGGAAGAAAGATGGAGCATGGTGGTTGGGGAACAGAAAATTGTATTTATATTTATTTATTTATTTATTTATTTATTCATTCATTCATTTATTTATGTTTTGCCCATCCCCGTACCTGCTGGGAGGAGGGACAGAAAAACATCTTTAAATCCTTCTTATTAGGTCAAGGAGAGTCTCATTTTAATGCATGAATTTACCCACCCATTCATTCACATATCAGATATTTGGGTGTCTATCATGTGCCATATACTGTTGTAGGTGCTGGGGACATGGCTGAGCAAACAGACATTTTCCTCTCCAATTCTAATTGGTGAAGTTGCAATTCTAATGGGTGGAGATGGGCAAGAAGCAAACTGTGTTTATAAGTGTAATATATATGTCAGTGATGAGAAATAAAGTAGTTTAAGGGGTGATAGGGTACTATCTTGTGATGATCAGGGAGAACCTCTCTGAGATGGTGACATTTGAACACCTAAAGAAGGTGAAGGTGGGAGCCATGTGTCTATCTGGGGAAAGCATTCTAGGCAGAGGGAACAGCAAGTGCAAAGGCCCTGAGGTGGGAGTGTACATGACATGTTTAAGAAACAGCAAGGAGGTGAGTGCTCCTGGAATGAAGTGGGTGAAGGGGAGAGAGTGGGAAATAATTTGAGACAAGTATTCAGAGATGAGATCATGTAGGATTTGAGTCTAAGTAAGAGGGGAAATCATTGGAGAGTTTTGAAAGGAGGAGTGACATTATCTTTATGTTTTAATAGGATCATTTTGGGTATGTCCTTTGTTACTATGACTTGGAATCCAGTATTCATCAGTACAGGACTGGTTGCATAAATTATTGTTCATCTGCACAGTGGAATATATTGCAGCTTTGCAAAAGACTGAGGATGCCTGCTGGGCCTGATATGAACAACTTCCAGGACATAGTATTCAAGGGAAGAACTAAAGTTCACACTGTGTGTATAGTATGCTGCTTTTGGAGAAAAAGTAAAAAAAAAGAAAAGTATATATTCAGTTTCTTTTTCACTTACATGCTTATTTTTAAAATTGTGATAAAATATACACAACATGATATGTCCTATTTTAACCATTCTTGAGAGTGTCCAGTTCAGCAGCATTAAGCACATTCACACTGTTGTGTAGCCATGATCACCACCATCCACCTCCAGAACTTCCTCATCTTCCCAAACTGGAACTCTGTCCTATTAAACACTAACTCTCCTTTCCCTTCCCCCAGCCTGGCACCCACCATCTACTTTCTGTCTTTATGGATTTGAATCCTGTAGGGACCTCCTATAAGTGGAATCACACAATCGTTGTCCTTTTGTGTCTGGCTTATTTCACTGAGTATAATATCTTCAAGGTTTATCCATGTTGTAGCATAGTCAGAGTTTCCTTCCCTTTTAAGGCTGAATGATATTCCTTTGCATGTGTGTATATATACCACAGTTTACAAATTTATCAGTTTTTTCTTTCTTGTACAATGAGAAAGAAAATCTAGATAGATAATTCCAGCAAGTTATAACAGGCAGGGGTGGTTATGAGGAATGAGGTTGAGAATAGGAGAATTGTTTTTTTTTTTTTTTTTTTAACCTCACCCGAGGACATTTTTGCATTTTTTGTTCAGACAGAGCGGGAGGGAGAGAGAGGAAGAGAGAGAGAAAAACATTGATGTGAAGGGACACATCGAGTGGCTGCCACCCGCACGACCAACCAGGGCCTGGGACAAACTGCAACCGAGGTACGTGCCCTTAGCGGGAACCGAACCCGGGTCTCTCTGGACCGCAGGCCGACGCTCTAACCACTGAGCCAAACCAGCCAGGGCAGGAGAATTGTTTTTAAAATATACTTTAATTATTTTAAAAAACACCACTGTGAGCATTTTACTTATTCAAAAGATGTTTTTTAAAGATCCCCTGGGCTGCTATAAGGAGAATGGATTGTAGGGGCAAATGCAGAAGGTGGGAGGGAAGGGGGCCTGGGATAGTACTCGAAGGGAAAGTGATGGTGGCAGGACTAGTGTGGAGGCCAAAAAGGTGTTGTGAAATGGTTGGTTCGGAATATGTTTTGCAGGTCATGTGAACAGATCTCCTGATATATTGGCTGAGATGTGACAGAGAGGAACTAGAGATGACTCCAAGACTTTTGGCCTGAGCCACTGGAGAAATGAACTTATCTTTTTTAAGGTGGGAAAGACGAGGGTTGGGTATGAGTGTTGAAATAAAGAGGCAAAGGTTGGCATGTCTTTAACACCTTTAAAACTTCTGCCAATCTCCATTGGCTTTGTGGTAAACAATAAAATAGCAATAGCATCCAGCTAGATTTAATAACAGCCCTCCCTACCCCCACATTTATTTTTATAGTTATCATCTGGATTGGTGATGATTCTTCCTTAAATGCATCTAAAATGGACTCGGGTGATTTTAGCTGCAAAGGAATTTATAGGGTGGATACTGGGGGCTCGTGCAATCACCAGCCCTGGAAGATAAAAAGGAACAAAGTGGCCCTGGCTGGGTGGCTCAGGTGGTTGGAGCATAGTCTGCTATACCTGTGCCTCCTGTTGGCAGAACCCAACACAACCAGAAGCCAAACGTGGAGGAAAGTGGTTAATGTAATCCTTGGGTGAGCCTCCTGGGGCAATCCAATGACCTCCTGCATATGTGTGCTTCATATGTTCTTTTAAAAAATTAACTTAATTTCTAAATTGAGACATAATTCACATACCACAAACTCTGTCATTTTAAAGTGTACAGCTCACCCAGCTGGTGTGGCTCACTGGTTGAGCGTTGACCCATGCATCAAGAGGTTGCCGGTTCGATTCCTGGTCAGGGTACATGCCCAGGTTGTGGGCCCAATCCCCAGTGGGGAGCATGCAGGAGGAGGCTAGTCGATGTTCTCCCTCATTGATGTTTCTATCTCTCTCTCCTTCTCCCTTCCTATCTCTCTAAAATCAATAAAGAAAAATAAAAAAATAAAGTGCCCAGCTCAGTGAGTTTTGGTATATTCACAAGTTTGTGCAACCATCACCACTATCTAATTTCATATATTCTTTTGCAGGTATTCCAACACTGTTTCAAAAATCCAGTAAGAAAGAGGAGAGGGGAAAATTTAATTTGATAAAACATACTAAGTAGCCCTGGCCGGTTTGGCTCAGCGGTTAGAGCGTCAGCCCATGGACCGGAGAGTCCTGTGTTTGGTTCCCGCTACGGGCACATACCTCAGTTGCAGTTTGTCCCCAGCCCTGGTTGGGGTCGTGTGGGTGGCAACCAGTCGATGTGTCTCTCTCACATCGATGTTTCTCTCTCTCTCTTCTTCCCCCCTCTCCCTCCCACTCTGCCTGAAGATAAATGCAAAAAATGTCCTCGGGTGAGGATAAGAACAAACTAACAAAAAAACCTACTAAGTAGCCCCATTATCTCTCAAAGAAATCTATTCCTATGGCCCCAGACTCAGTTCCCTTTTTCTAGGTCACTAGAGACTCCTGAAGACCAGCATAAACTGACTTGAACGACCCTAGACTTGATTCCTATCCCTCTCCTCTGCTCCTGAGAACCTTGGTTTCTTCATCTATGAACTGGGGAAGTTCTGAGTGTCTCCATCTTATGAGGCTGTAGAGAGCAAACATGAATAAAAACTTTGCCTGGAGACTGGCCGTCCGAATTGGTAGTTGAACCTCAACAGAACAGAAACTCCAAGTGAAGTGTAACAGTGTAGGGGACTTTTCCTGTTGTTTCAGCACTGTCATTGCTAACCCTGCTGCATGGAAGATGAGACCGGGGAAGTCACTTGCCCAGAGTCACCCAGTGAAAAAGAAGCAGAAATCACAATTACACCCAGAGTCCATTTGCTTCCGAATTCTCCAGAAGAGGGCCAAGAAACTTGGGGACAATTTGTTGGGGACTCAGATTACTTTTAAAATAATGTTAATTGTGGTAAAATTATACATAACACATTTTCTGTCTTAGCATTTTTTTTTTCATCCTCACCCGAGGACATTTTTCCATTTTTTTGTTCAGATAGAGTGGGAGGGGGAGAGAGAGAGAGAAACATCGACGTGAAACATCGTCATGCTGCCACCCGCATGACCCAACCAGGGCCAGGGATAAACTGCAACTGAGGCACACGCTCTTAGCGGGAACCGAACCCGGGTCTCTCTGGACCACAGGCCGATGCTCTAACCACTGAACCAAATTGGCCAGGGCTGTCTTAACATTTTTAAACATACAGTTCATTAGTGTTAAGCACATTCACATTGTCAGCACCATCCATCTCCTGAACTCTTCATCTTGCAAAATTGAAACTCCCCATTAAACACTAACTCCCCATTCCCCCTCCTTCCAGTCCCTGGCATCCACTGTTCTACTTACTGTCCCTATGAATTTGGCCACTGTAGGGACCTCATATAAATAGAATCATACAGTATTTATCTTTTTGTGACTGGCTTATTTCACTTAGTATAGTGTCCTTAAGTTTTATCCATGGCGTAGCATGTGTCAGAACTTCCTTTCTTTTTCAATTTGAATAACATTTCATTTCATGGATTGGCCACATTTTGTTTATCCATTCACCCATTGATGGACACTTGAGTTGCTGTTTTGAATTATGCTACTATGAACACGGGTGTGCAAATATTTCTTTGAGACTCTGTTTTCAATTCTTTTAGATACTACCCATATATGATCCATATATGAAATTGCTGGGTCATATCATAATTCCATTTCATTTTTCAAGGAAGTGCCATATTGTTTTTCATTGAGGCAACACTATTTTATATTCTCACCAACAATGCACCAACAGTGCACAGGATTCCAATTTCTCTACATCCTTAACAAAGCTTGTTATTTTCTGTTTTGTTATTGTTGTTGATATTAGCCATTCTAATGGGTGTGACGTGGACCCTTCCATTTATCTTCAGATAGAGTGGGAGGGAGGGAGAGGGAGAGAGAGAGACAAACATCCATGTGAGAGAGACACATAGATTGGTTGCCTCCCACAGGGCCCTGACCAGGGCCAGGGACTGAATCACAACCAAGGTACCTGCTCTTGATGGGAATCGAACCAGTGAGTCTTTGGTCCACAGGCTGATGCTCTAACTGCTAAGCCAAACCAGCCAGGGCCACCCTGTTGTTTTTTAATCCTCACCTGAGGACATTTTTGCATTTATCCACAGATAGAGTGGGAGGTAGAGAGGGAGGAAGAGAGAGAGAGAAACATCTACTGACCCACACGGCCCCAACCAGGGTTGGAGACAAACTGCAACCAAAGTATTTGCCCTTAGCGGGAACCGAACCGGGGACTCTCTGGTCCACGGGCCGAGGCTCTAACCGCTGAGCCAAATGGGCCGGGGTGCTTTTTAATTTTTTATTTAGACATAAGAAATCAAGCTTTATTAAATATTTAATATAGTGGTTGTGAATGATTACAAATCTATGTTTTATGAACAAATATATGTACATTGCTAGTGTATGCACAAACACATTTTCTTCTTTTTATTATTTTTTAAATTATTTATACTTTTTTTGTTTATTTTTTTATTATTATTTATTTTTGTATTTCTTCATTTTATTTTATTTTTTCCTCCCCCCTCCCCCCGCGGGACTCCCAGCACCCACCCCCACCCCCATCCCCACCCTGGGCCGGGCTGGGCCCTCCTGCCTGCCTGGCCAGGCCTGCGGGCCTGCCCCGACAAACACATTTTCTTGATGTAGTATGTGTGACCAGAATAGTCTGGAGACCCCCCAGTGAACCCAATTCTATGCATGTGTGTTGTGGAGGAAGGGTGATAGAAGTGTTTGGATCATTCCTGTATTTCCAGGCCCAAGATAATGAAATCCTGAGAGACAGTCTATCTCACCCTTCAATGTCCATGGACAGTACCCCTTCCTCCAGGAAGCCTCCCCTGCCTTCCCAGACACAGCACACGTCAGCCCAGGGTCCTAGGTTCCTTCTCTCTGCCCCAGCTCTGACCAGGGAGGGGTCTGTGTCTAGAGACAGCATTGCCCAGGTACAGGGCAGGTTAGGCAGAATTTGATAAACGAATGAATGAATGAATGAATGGTCTGCATGGCCTCTGATCTGGGTGTGGACTGAAAAGATCTGGCTGTTCAGGAGTGGGAAGAGTTGGGAGAGGCTCACCGGGGCCCAACCCGGGTGCGGAAGCAGCGGCAGGCCAGGCAGCTGAGGCCAAGGCTGAGGAGGCGGGGCCAGCGGAACACCAGGCCGCGGGCGGTTCGCACGTACAGGCTGCCGGAGGGGTCCGCGGCTTTGAGCGCCGTCAGCAGGGCGTAGCGGGCGTTGGTCTGCCGGCGTAGGGGTGGTCTGGCCGAGCCGATGACCTTGACAATAATCTGCGGGGTGGAGCCCTGAGCTCGGGGACCCAGGGACCGGAGCTGTGTAGGAAGACATACCTAAGCTATGTCTTGAGACTCTGGGCCTCCCACTCACCTGGGCCACGTCCTGTGGGCTCTGTCCCACGGAGCGAAAGAGCTCCCTGGAAGCCGGGAGGTAGAGATCCCGGAAGTAGTGCAGGGTGTCGGGGTCAGCGCCCGGGAACTGGGCTGTGGAAACCTGCTTCAGGAGCTTTCCTTCAAAGTCCGTGGCCACCGGGCCGGGTTCCACCAGGGAGACGCTGAGAACGAGGACAAGGGTAGGGGGTTCGGTGCCCCAACACACTCACAGCCCCACTTTACTGTCCTCTTTCCTTTTCACCTCTCGTTTCTCCCATTATTGTTTCATCCCTCCCTGTCCCCCCATTTCCTCCATTATGCCCATTTCCTTGTCTGCCCCATCACCACCTCCATTCCCCTGCCCGGTCTCCATTCCCCCCTCCCTGTCTCCATTCCCCCCTCCCTGTCTCCGTTCCCCCCTCCCTGTCTCCATCCCCCCTCTCTGTCTCCATTCCCCCCTCCCTGTCTCCATTCCCCCCTCCCTGTCTCCATTCCCCCCTCCCTGTCTCCATTCCCCCCTCCCTGTCTCCATTCCCCCCTCCCTGTCTGCATCCCCCCTCTCTGTCTCCATTCCCCCCTGTCTTCATCCCCCCCACCCCCCTGTCTCCATTCCCCCCTCCTTGTCCAAGTGCCCGCCTCACAAGATATTGAACTGGAGCAGCTGGATGGCCAGACTCTCAAAGAATCCTTCCAGAGCAAACTTTGAGGCTGCATAGACATCGTTGAACACAACACCTGAGAGAATTAGAAGAAGGTGGACCCTTTAGGGGTCCAGGTGATGGGTTTTGTGGGTCCAGAGGGAGGGGGTTTTTGGGAGGCAGAACAAAGAGGGTTTGAGGATTGGAATAAAGAGCTATCTGGGGCCAACGTGATGGGAGTATGGTATTGTGTGATGGGAGCATAGGGGGACAGAATGAGTTGTCTTGAGGTGCCAGGTGCCACTTCTTCCCAGCAGTGCTCCATCTACCCTCAGCCCAGGAAACTCTCTTACTTCCCTCCCTCCTCTAAATCCCTGGGGGCCACTTGGGTCTGGGATCCCAAGAGCCCCTGAGGGCAAGTCCTGTTCAGCCAGGTCCTTATCAGTCCTGTTGAACAGTGAATGTGGCTGGATGAGGGGCCAAAGGGATGAGCTAAGTAAATGCAGCTTCTATGTGGAAGGATAATAAATAGGGTGGATTCCTTAGAAAACAGCTGGGGCAGGGGGGCACATTTAAGGAAATGTTCAGGGTAGGAAGGGAGTCTAGGGAAGTTCAAGGAGGAGAAAACCAAGAGCATGGATGGCAAGTAAGTGGCTTCCATAGTAGGCCCATAGCAGACATCACTAGTCAATCACAGGACTCTTTTCAGAAGAACTTCAGAATCCCAAATCTAGACATCTTTGGGGCCTGGTGGTGAGTGTTTTTCAAAGAGGAATCTCAGGCCCTGGCCGATTTTGCTCAGTGGTTAGAGCGTCGACCCGAGGACTAAAGAGTCCCAGGTTTGGTTCCCGCTAAGGGCGCGACCTTAGTTGCAGTTTGTTCCTGGCCTGGTTGGGGTCATGTGGGTAGCAACCAGTTGATATGTCTCTCTCACATCGATGTTTCTCTCTCCCTCCTCCTCCTTCTCTCCCTCCCACTCTATCTGAGGATAAATGCAAAAATGTCCTCGGGTGAGGATAAAAACAAAACAAAAACAACAGGAGGAATCTCAGGAGGAGTTCTGATGTTTTTATTTTTGGGGGTGGTTGGGAGAGATTTTTGGAGGTGTTTGGAAGTGGGGTTGATACTGGGATGTAGATAGCCATTGGCAGCATCTTTATCATCACTGCACCATGGCAGACATAGTTAATCTTTCCCAGAACTTTTTCTTCTGAGCTTCAGAATCCTTCTTAACACAGGCTCATTTGGAATTTGAGCTAAAACCTTATCAAGGATCCTTCCAGCTAAGGAGGGTCAGACACTGGGAGGATTCCCAGGGCGTATCCCCAGAGCTTACCCTGCAGCCCCATGACACTGCTGACCACCACAATGTGGCCCTGTCGCCTTCTCTTCATGCCAGGAAGCACAGCTTTGACCAGACGGACAGCTCCGAAAAAGTTGGTATCAAAGACTTTCTGCATGGTAGCTAGGCTGAGCCCCTCCAGGGGCCCCACCAGGCCCACTCCAGCATTATTTACTAAGGAGGAGATGCTAAGTGTTGCTTTGAAGTCCCCCCAACCCTTCCAGTGTCACTTTTCCAGAGACACTCCTTGAATTCCCCCACCCACCCACTCCAAATTCAGGGCCAGTCCAGGGTAACTTGGGTTGACAAATGTGGAGCCTTGATAATCTTTACATATAATTCAACATTTATTTTAGGGGACCCTCAACCCTGGGTGGGGGAAAGGGCTGCTGAGAACAACCTCCCTTTTAATGCATGAGCAATTAAACTCTGACCCCAAATTGCATCAAAACAGCCATACCCACTCTCCTCAGAAGGTTGTTAAGGAATCATGAGTTGCTTCTTCATCATGGTTCCTTCCCCTAATGACTCATCAAACCACATATGACTTTCTCCATATGTGAGTTTTCTTCAATAAAATCCCTCTGACCCCAGGTTTCAGTTTATTTCTATATTCCTACAAAACCTTGGGCTCTTGGCCAACTGGTCGACCCCTTCTGTTCAGGGCTAGAGGACGTGGGTGAAGCAAGAGACCTGGTGCCCAGACACTGAAGGTCCTTGCTGTGATGAGGATTTGTGCTTAGGCTAGGGAGGGGGCGTGACCCCAGGGACTTCTCAGTCTCACCCAGCACGTCCACTTCTCCCTGGATATAGCTGAGACATTGAGCCACTGACTCATCACTGCAGACGTCCAGCTGGGCCACAGTGAGGGTCTGACCCAGAGCCTCCCCGGCTGCTGCCTCCAGTGTCCCCTTCTTTCCCAGATCTCTCATGGTGGCCACCACTGGGGACAGAGAGCAGTTGGGGAAGGTACTGGCTCCTTTCCCCTATGTATGGATTAGCACGTTTCTGTGATCTTGCATGAGCAGTCACAGAGGGATGGAGACCCACAGGTTTACACACCTACATTCACCACATGTCCACAAATGCACACTTGTGTACATATCTTTACGTATTTATCCATCTGTCCATTCAACATGTTTATTGAGCATCTACTACATACTATGTCCTATTCTAGGTGCTGAGGCTATTGTATTAAATAAGATAAAGTCTGTGCCTTCATGGAATTCACAGCCTAGTAGGTCAGAAAATAAAATAACTATAAAATGGATTGCCTTGAGAAAAGAAATGTATAAACACCGAGGGTTGACATATGTGCTATGGACACATGCAAGTACGAGTAGACACACTTACATCATCAACCTAAGTCCAGTTTACTGAACACCTACTATGTGCCAGACATTGTGCTAAACAATGTTACAAGCACTATCTATAATCCTCACAAGAACCCTAGATTTGATCACTGACATTTTCTAAAGATGGCTATATCTTTCATTACATATGTTTGTTTAGAACCTTGCTGCGCTCCCCATAAAGACATGAAATCTCTTTCTCCTCTCTTTGAATCTTGTGACTAGCTGTGAACCAATAGACTATGGTGAAAGTGATGTTTGGCTTCTGAGATTAGGCCAGAAAAGATGCTGCAGTTTCTGCCTTGTTTGCTGAAACACTCACTCTTTTCTTCTTAAATTTTATTTTTTAATTTTTTAAAATGTGTTTTTATTGATTTTTTAGAGAGATAAGAAGGGAGAGAGAGAGATAGAAACATCAATGTGAGAGAGATACATCAATCGGCCACTTCCTATATGCCCCCAACTGGGGATGGAGCCCCAAACCCAGGCATGTGCCCAGATAGACCACATGGAGAAACCTTGAGATTACTGAGACAGAGAGAGATGCTTGTCTAAACCCTGATATGTTCCACCCTCCTCTGTTCTAGTTGTACCTTTGACCCTGAATCAGAACCACCTAGCTGAGCCCTTCTGAATTCATGGCCTTTGTAAACTGTGAAATGAATGATTATAGTTTTTTGCACCATAATTTTGAGGCTGATTTATTATTTAGTAATGGTAACCAGAACAGGTAGGTAAAGTTATCCCTATCATACAGATGAACAAACTAAGGCTAAACAAGGTGACATTCCCTGTCTGTCCCACCTCTGGTTAGTGTTAGAACTGAGATTTGAACCTGTGTTTATCAGAGTGCTGAGCTCACATACGTGCATGTGAGCACCTCCAATGTGTGCACCCAAAATCACATATGCATATTCTTAGGGGGTATTTGCATATTGCCCATGGGCCTGTGTGATTGATGGGTGCTGCACAGGTGCATGGAGCCACATGCATCTATATGCAGTATAGTGACAAGCGTGGCCCAGGGCTAGTATGCCTGGGTTCAAATCCAGGCTCTGCCACTTTCCAGCTGGGGGACCTTGGGCAAGAACCTTTGGAAGTCTGCCTGTTTCCTCATTTCCTTTTTAAAAATTGATTTTAGAGAGAGGGAGGGAGAGAGAGAGAGAAAGAGAGAGAGAAACATCGATGTATTGCTCTACTTATCTATGCATCCATTGGTTGACTCTTGTATGTGCCTTGACCAGAAATGGAACCTGCAACCTTGGTGTATTGAGATGATGCTCTAACCAACTGAGCTACCCTGCCAGGGCTTTTCTCATTTCTAATGTGGGGCAAATGATAGCAGCCACCTCATAGGGGTGATGTGGGGATTAAATATCTAACTAGATGCAAAACAGCCTGGCACATTGGAAGCACTCAATAAACATCACCCTTTAGGCAGTGTTATATGCTCGTCTGCCTGTCACAGAGACATACACAGCACAATGACTTTTCTGCATACTGGCATTCAGACAGTCACACTCAAAGCGGTGCATGTGTCTAAGACAGAGGATAGAGGGCTGGGAGAAGCAGCTCTGCCAACTGGAACAATGCCCTCATTTCCTGCAGCCTCCTCCTAAGTAACAGCCCTTTGCCCACTTTGACTCCAGCCTGCTCTGGGTCAGAGGTCTCCAGGGTGGGGTGCAGATTGAGGCAACTGACTACAGAATTGCAGGAGGCTAAGTCCCTAGGACTAGAGGACCCCTTGAACCCCTAAGGTCAGATTCACTTAAGAGGCTTATCTTGGAGTAGTAATCTGGGGAGGGTGGGGGAGGGATGTCCTAGGGAACACCTCCCTGACCAGCCCTTCTGAAACTATCCCCCAATTCCCCTTGCTTCATTTTTCTTCTTAGCACTTATTAGCATTAGACATATTATAAAAAATTTAAATCTGTTTATTGTCTGTCCTCCCTCCCTTCCCCACTACACCACTAATCAGGGCAGAGATTTGGGTTTGTTTTGTTCACAGCTGTATTTCTAGCACCTAGAACAGTGCTGGCATCCAGTAGGTGCTCAAGAAATATTCATTGGATGAGGGGATGATTCATGAGGAAAGGTGGGAATGGGGCCTCCATTTGTCCTGGGTCCTTCCCAAGCCCACAAGTGCAGCTGGAAGGGAAGGGCTGGTGGAAATGATGCCAAGGAGGCTGAAGGTCCTGGAAGCTATGCCCACCCCTGCCCCTCTCAGCCCTGCCCGGGGTCCCTTACCCTGGTAGCGCTGCCTGGAGTCATGAGCCAATTGCACTGCGAGTTCCAGGCCAATTCCTGACGAGCAGCCTGAGATCAGCACAGTCTGGGGTAGGTCAGCCATGTTGATCCCTCCCTGGATGCATGACCTCTGCTGGCCACACCTGACTCCTGCCACCCATCTCCCTAAACATTTCAAAAACGAATCCCCTGCAGAGTAGAGGACCCCCTCGAGCCCTCCTGATTCTGAACTGACCCAGGGCAGGCACCTGGGGGCAATTCTTTAACCTCAATGTACCCCTTTCCTTTATCTGTCAAACTTTCTTCTCCTCACTACTACACTCACAACTGGGGGCTTTTTATGATTGTAAATTATTCAGGGATGGGGGGAGTTTCAGAGAGCCTGGGGAATTAGCAGGGGCTTTCTCTTGCTGTCTCTATTCTGGCCAAATAATCTCTGATTGGAGGGAGAGAGGGAGAGAAGGTGACAGAGAATGTGGTCTCAAAAGGGTCCTTTCAGATGTGCACAGAAATGTCAGAAGACAGGGTTAGATATAACAGAAACTTTCCAGCAAGGCAAGGCAGGGCAGAAGCTTCATGAGAGTCTTAGCTACAGATGTCCCTGGGGAGGGAGGAGGAGCAGCTTGGGGAGATTCTCTCTACTCCCCTCACCCTGGGAGCCCCCATCTTCCCCTCAGGCCAGATGGGGCCCCACCTCCTCCTCTCCAGGGACACAGAGACTCTTTGTCTGAGGAGCCAGAGGCTGGGAGGGAGGCACTGCTGGCTTCTCCCTCTTGGTGGTGAGGGGGGAGCTCAGGGCCCAGGATACGCCCCTTGGGTTCCTCCCTGCGGAAGCTTTCTCAGATCCCACAGGTCTGCTCTTGTTCAATTGAACAGTGGGCTCCATCTGACCCCCTGAGGGCCTCTTCATACTGGGGGTCCCAGTAGGGTGAGGGGGGCTCTGCCTCACCCTAGAAATGGCAGGGAACTGCTCCTCCCCTTGGCAGTGCCCTGCTTTGGGGTAGAGTCAGATCCCCCACCCCATTTAATGGAGGTATGTGTGAGGATTTGGGATTGGGGCTAGGGCATCCATTTGGGGGCCTGAGTTGGGGAGAGGAGAGCTGATTATGGAATTGGGACTCATTATTTGGAGATTAAAAGTTTGGGGGAAAACAAGACCGGTGCTTGGGAATCTGTGGTGTGGGTGGGGATGGGGCAAGGACATCAAATTTGGGGCAAGTCTGGGAACTTCATTTTGGAATCTGGGTTGAGGTCTGAGGTGGGAAGAGGATCCTTATTTAGGGACCTGAAAGGAAGGTGATGGGTTGAGGCAGTACCTCTTCTGAGGGGCTAAGTGATTGGGGTAAGGCAGGTGGGCAAGAGTTTGGTGTGAGGCTGAGACCCCATTTAGGGGCCCTCAGTGACACAGAAAGACTTAGGTATAAATCTGTACCCATTAATAATACCAAGGCCTGGGTGAAGGATGAAGTTTGAATGAGGCTAAGGTCTCCTTTGAGGAGGCCTGTTAGGAGGAAAAGGTTTGGAGTAAGCCTGGGACCCCAAATCCTAAGGCTGGGTGGGAGTGACCCTCTTCCTTCAGGGTGGGGTGGGACAAATGGACCCAGCGCCGGCCCAGGGCTCCATTCCTAGCTGGCCAATCAGCGCTCAGCACAAACTTTCCAAACTCCCCCCACCAGCTGTCAGCCACCCCCCTTCCCCGCGAGTCCCGCCAGGCCCGGCGCTGAAGCGCAGGGCGAGGCCAGGGCGGGGTCTCGGGCAGTTTCCTGCGGATCCCGAGTGGAGCTGGCCGCCAGGAGTGCGTGCACCAAGCCCGTGGAGCCTCCACTCCCCACAGCTGCTCCGGCCGGTACCCCACCTTGAGCGTGGGCCCCGCCGGGATGGGGAGCCGCTGGGGCCTAGGCCAGCCACGGGCCAGCCTCTGCCTGCTCCTGGCCTCGCTGCAGCTTCTGTCCGGGACACAGGCCGGTGAGCCGGGAGGGAGGACATAGGACCCGAGTGCAGGATTCAGCGCGGCCCTGAAAGACGGGGTGGAGTCGGGAAGGGGAGGCGTGCGCGTTGCGCGTGGCAACAGTGTGCGACTGTCCAGCTCTGGCCGATTTGTGGGTGTGACAGCAGGGCGGGTGGCGGGAAACGTGTGACCATGCTTTGCTGGTGGATGCATGGGAATGAATGCAATTTATAAGTGTGTGTAGCAATGTGTGTCTGGCCATTTGGAGTAAAATTGTGTGTGTGCTTGAGAGTGAGTTGAAGGTGCTTGTATGGATGTAGGTGACAACAGCCTGATCCCCCGAGGGAGTGTGTGATTGTCAGTTGTGGATGTGCAAGTGTCTGTGTGTGTGTGGTGGGGTGGGGGGACGGATTTTGAGCATAATCGTGTGTGTTATGCCTTATGATTGTGTGTCTCTGGGTGACCCTATGAGGAGTGCCTTAGTGATTTTGGGGTGTAAATAATTGCCCAGGAGGACGTGAGTGAATGATTCTAAGGGTGATGGTGAGTGGGGTGAACATGAGAGGGGGCTAATCGGAGATTCAGACTTCCCTTTGCGTCTCCCCATATGGCTTCACCCTAGTCTCCCCCTTCTGCCTCTGCCCGCAATTAGCCCACATCCGCCTCCTCTCCCCAACCTCCTTCCCCCTCCCCCACCCCGAGCTCCCCAGAGCAGGGATCAGCACCATGGACAGGGCCTCCGGAGGTCCGCAGTGAGGGGCAAGGCGGGGCGGGGCGTGGGGCGGGGCGGGGCGGAGCGCGGGCCGGGGCAGGAATGGAAGTTGCTCCCCCCAGCTGAGCGAGCCTGGGGTATTTTTCCCGAGGAATTTCTCAGGAGCTCCCCCCCTCAAGGGTCCCGGGGGCCCGTGGACGGATGAGTCAGCGCTGACGCACGCCCAGCTGCGCGCATCTGGCTGGATGCCGAGCCCGCCCCTCAGGGTTCCCGGTGCGAGGCACCCAGGGTTTGGGAAGATTATGGTCCCTTAAGTGGTGATTGAGAGGGCTTACCTGGTCTGAGATACCCCAGACCAGGACCTTGTGGAAATCCCTCCCTGAGGTAAAGTCAGCCCCCCAACACACACACACACCCCACTTTCTCTGAAGTCCAGGGAGGTGTCTGTTCACGTGGATAATCCCAGATTGGCCTATGCCCCCATTCCCACACTCACACATCCACACAGTCGTTCAGTCTCAGGCAATTATTCAAAATACAAGCCCCTGGGATATCAGGAATGTTAAACACCGGTGCCCACGCCCAGGCAGGCCATCAGTCATCCACTACATGGTCACAGCTTTTGTCACCCTCCTACACTTTCAAACTCTCACATATGCTTTCACTGGCATCCATACAACATGGCCAACATTCACAACTAGTCACGCCCATGTTGACTTGGCCACACTCTCACATATTAACCACATTCCCCTGAGTCTAAACTATTACAATCACAGACTCACCTGCATGACCTCACTGCCAGGATCCCAACTCACATGGACACACAGTCACAAGTCAAAGCACTAAACCATCATAGGCCAAATACACATTGACACACCACAGATCACATTCTTAGCCATTCCCTGGTCCATATATTATCACACACACAGACACACACACACACACACACACACGCTCATGCATGTGCACAGTAGCACATAATACATATTTGCACAGACACTCACACCTTTGCTCTCCTACACTTCTAAAAGTATCCAGCCATGATCCAGCCTGGTCCCTGCTTGCCTCCCTCCACAACCTAGACCCCACCCAATGTCTCCCTGGGGCCCTGATCACCACAGGGAAGAGTCTGTGGGGGGAAGGGTGGTCTGGGTCCCTGTAAGACCCTCCCCCTGCAGGCAAGACTCAATGCCTCTTGTGTGTCTCCTTGTCACAAAGCCAGCAGTGAAAATAAAGGGAAGTCAGTTTCTGAAAGGTCATTTAAGAATTGACACAAGATTGAAGCAAGAGACATTTGGGTTAGATTCTGGGAAGGACTTTTGAAATGTGAATGAGCAGTTGGTCAAGAGGAGATTTCCCCCCCACTGCATAGAGACTGGGCTCTGGATGAAGAGAGAGCCTGGGAGAGCCACACTGAGATCATGGATCTCAGCCTTCTCCTGGGCCCCAGCCTGGAGAAGGGGCAGCTGGGATGGTCATTTCATGAGGGAGTGACCCTTGTGGTTAGCAGAGCCTGGGAGCCCAGATCTTAGCCCCAGGGGTCTGTAACCCAAATACCTCTTAATGACAGCCCAGCCACAGAACAGACAATTAGAAATGGGGCTGGTGATGGTGCAGGGTTAGCGGGATGGGGTGGGGGTGGGGGGGCGGAGCACAGATGGAGACAGAGAGATGGGGAGTGTAGTCCACACACAGAGATATAGAGATAGAGAGGCACTGAGATAGAGACAGTCGGTGAGAGGCAGATGGGAGAACAAAGAAAACACCGAGACAGAGAGAGTGAGGGAGAGAGAGAGAGAGAGAGAGAGAGAGAGACAGAGAGAGAGACTGATTCAGAGCTGGACACAGAGAGAGACCTGGAAAGATCGAGACAGAAAGTGGGGCAGAGAGAGGGTGGGGCAGGGGAGAGAAGAAAGAAAGAAAAGAGCAGAAGGACTTTAGGGACAAGAGGGAGCTGAAGCTGAACCAGGTTCTACAGAATCCAGAGAATGAATTCTTACCCAGGAGGAGCTGGGATGGAGTCCCTCATCCAAGCCCCTATCTCCTCCAAGTCTGGCCCCCTACCCTGGCTCCCAATGGTGAGGTCAGTAGAGCCACCCCCAGGGTGAAGTCATGGGCAGATCCTGGCTCCTGCCAAGAGGCTGGGTCAGGGGGTCAGTGGGGCGTCTGCTGGGGGGTGAGGGAAGGGAGATCAGGCAGGGGCTTTGGGCCAGGAGTAGCCCCCCCAAACCCTGCCCAAGCCATGTGGTTCCACTTAGTGAGGGCCTGCCTGGGCTGCATAGGGTGGGGCTGGTAGAACTGCTTGGATTAGGCTCTGGTTGGGCCAGACCAGTCCTTTTTTTTTTATTGCTGGGATGAGAGGAGGCAGGTCAGAGAGAGAAAGCCAGGAGGTTATCAAAGAGAGGTGGTCATTATGAAGACAAAGAGGGAGATAAAATGGGGAGGTCGCAGGTCAGATGGAGGAGGCTGAAATAGACAGAGGGAGGAGGTCAGAGGAGGAAGTCAGAGGGAGGAAGTCAGAGGGAATAGCCAGAGAGAGAGTGGTCAGAGGGAGATCTGAAGTGGCAATGGCTACAGGGAGGAGGTCATGGGTGATGGTGGTCAAGGAGGAGGTCAGAAGGGAGGGGTCAGGAGAGGTGGTGGTCAGAGGGAGAAGTTCACAGGATGTGGTGGTCAAAGGAAGAGGTCAGAGGAAGGAAGTAGGGAAAAAATACACAAGGAGCCCTTCCTCTCCAAGTGGGTAGGTTTCCCCTGGCAAGGGGGCTTCAGGCCTGGGAAGCAGCCCCAGGGAGCTGATGCGGGGGAGTTTGGAGAGGGGGACAGTCTGGCTCTGGGGCTCAGGCCAGGAAGCTTTGATTCATCCCAGAACTAGGTCAGTATTTTTTCTCTCACCAAAACCAAGGGAAAATAAAACACAACAAAACAGGAGTCAACAGACTAATGAGGCTGGAACAGCTGTGGGTTGGTAAGGGGGGTAAGGGTCAGACCTGCTCCCTCTCCCTGACCCATAAACACAGTGGAGGGAAACTGAGTCCCTGAACCTGGGCCACTCACATGGAGTCCTGAGCTTATTTTAACCGCCCTATACCCTGCTTTTTTCTGCAGCAGACCCTGTGGATGTACTGAAGGCACTGGGTGTGCGGGGGGGCCAGGCTGGGTTCCCTGAGGGGCCTGGCCTCTGCCCTCAGAGGGCCCCAGATGGTGACCGGGCATTCAGGGTGGGCAAGGCCAGCACACTAGGCATCCCCACGTGGCAGATCTTTCCAGGTAAGTCAGTGGGGGGAGGGAATGGGGTCATCCTGGGAACATGGGTCACTGCCAGGTCATCTGAGCTGCTCCTTTCCCTCTGCCTCTCCCCCATCAGATGGACACTTTCCTGAGAACTTCTCTGTGCTGATCACTCTTAGAGGCCAGCCAGCCAACCAGTCTGTCCTTCTATCCATTTATGATGAGGGTGGTGCCCGGCAGCTGGGCCTGGCACTGGGGCCAGCTCTGGGCCTCCTGGGTGACTCCTTTAGACCCTTCCCCCAGCAGGTTAACCTCATGGATGGAAGGTGAGTATAGGGAGAATGAGGCTCCAAAGAGTGGTGTGGTGAGAAGTACCCCCCCTGAGACTTCTCTCTGCAGGTGGCATCGTGTGGCAGTCAGTGTGAATGGTGGCGTGGTGACCCTGGTGGCTGACTGTGACCCTCAGCCTCCTGTGTTGGGTCAGGGGCCTCGATTCATCAGCACAGCTGGACTCACTGTGCTGGGGAGCCAGGACCTCAGAGAGGAAACTTTTGAGGTTGGTGTTCAGTGGTCGGGGAAACTGAGGCAGAGGACAGGCAGAAGTTTTATTCACAGATTGATCTGGAGAAGAGATTAGGGAAGGGGGATGTCCAGCTTCCAGGAAGCTGAGAAAAGGGAGCACCATGCATCACTGTGCATCTTTGTGGTGTGTGACAGATTCTAGAGCCCCCAAATGGTATTTGTTATGCATGCATATGGCTTGTGGTAGGAGGATAGGTTGTGATGTGTTACTGCGCTCACGGTTGTGGTTGTATGATTGTGTGTGGAGTGGTTATGATGTTGGGTGCCAGCAAGGCACAGTGTTGTGCTTTTGGTGCGGTGATTGTGGCTGATGACTGTGCTTGGTTGTGATGTGTGCCCCTCCAGGAGGCCAGTAACCTCATCTCTCTTGTTCCCCTTCTCTCCAACACATACCTTGACGGGCACCTGGCACCTAACAAATGTGCCTCTGATGGATGGATGTTGTGGGGTGTGGTTTGTGGTTGTAATTTGCTGTGACTCTGATAAAATCTTTCTTCTCTCAGAGGGATCACTGGAGTTGTGGTTGGGCCACCCCTTCCTTATACTTAGGGTGCTCTGGTTGGAGAAGCACAAAGACTTGGTGCTTGGAATGGGGGTCAGAGTTAGCCTGTGGCTCCTTTCCCTGTCTCCCACCCTCTCCCCAGGGTGATATTCAGGAGCTGCTGATAAGCCCAGATCCTCAGGCTGCCTTCCATGCCTGTGAGCAGTACCTTCTTGGCTGTGACCACCTGGGCCCTACAACCACAGGGGTGAGTGAGAAGCTTGTCCTGAAGTCACAGGCTGAGTCATCCCTGGCTTCTGCCCTTAAACAGATCCTAGGCATGAGTGATTTGACCTCAGGTCACATAACCAGGTGGCCCTTAGCTCCAGATCATATAACTGACCTTGACATGGGGTCACAAGGCTGATTGAGCCCTGGCTTCAGAACACAGGATCAAAGGACCATGTGCCAACATAGTCCCAGGTGACCTGGGTGATGAAGCTTTTATTGAGGGATGGCCTCTGGGTCTGATTGGAGCCTTCTTCTTAGGTCCCCCAGGGTGAGCCAGAAACCCCTCTCCCTCGACGACGGAAGAAGAAAGGAAAGGGGAAGAAAAAAGGGCGAGGTCGTAAGGGGAAGGGCAGGAAGAAAAAGAACAAGGAATCCTTGACCCTGGCTCCATCTCTTGGCTCCCCGGAGAACCAGGTAAGGGACCTGTGACCTCTCACCTCTGCTCTTTGCCCAACATCTGGTCCCTGATTCCCACTGATGACTGACACCTTATTGAAGGTCTCTGCTTTTAGTGTTCAATCCCTGACTTTTGATTTATCTTAGCTGACTGATGACTGGGGGGTGGGGAGTGGGTGCTGGTCTGTTTTATGAACTCTCCATCTCTGTCTCCAAGTTCTAGGGGGCTGGAGGGAGGGAGCACACCCAGATGAGTACCTTATTATTAGAAGGCTCTTGATGAGGGTGACTGTTTAAGGGTAGTTAGGGTGAATGATGAGTTCATTAGTATCATTGTTGGGGGTTGACTGGATGGGGCCATTGGTGAGGGTTATTGATTGAGGAGTCATTAATTGAAATTGAGAGCACTATTTAATCTCCCTGATAGAGATTGCTGGTTAGGGGGACACTGTAAGAAGATATTACTTGAGCTCAATATTTGGGGGGCTCGTAGTTGGGGGTCACTGTTGGAGGACATTGATGGAGGCCACTGTTGGTTTATTAGTGTCACTAGTTAGGGGTAAATTGTGGACATCATTGCTGGGGGTTATTATTCGAGGAGGTCATCCATGGGGGATTACTGATTAGAAAGCAGTAGTTTGAGGAGTGACTTCCAGGAAATCACGGATAAATAACTAGTTTGGGAGTCCCCAATGGAAAGTCAGGGATGGGTCATTGGTTAGTGGAATCACTGTTTGGTGTTGGAGGTCATTGTTTGCGGATCACTAGTTGGGTTCATTATGGATATTCATTGTTCCTTGTTGGAGAATCACTGGTTGGGGAATAATTGATTAGGAACTACTAGTGGGGTTTATTATTTGGGGGCTCACTAGTTAGTGCTTATTGTGGGGGTCATTGATTGGAGAAGTCACTGAATGGAAGAGTAATTGGTTGTGGCCATTGACGGGAGTCATTAATTGGGGGGCCAATGATGGGTCCCTGGTAATAGGAATAACCTATGGGGCCAATGATGGTCATTTGTTGGGAATTATTGGTTAGGTCTCTTAGTGGAGATCATCAATCAGGGGTCATTGGTGGGGGTCATTAGTTGGTGGGTCACTGAACAGGGTCAGTGGTGAAGGTCATTGGCTGGGGTCCTTGGTTAGGGCAGGGTCACTGGTTGTACTACATCTGCTTTCAGTATTAGCAGGGAGAAAGGGGTTATTAGTTTAGGCCCAGAGCAGGCACACCAGGGGTAGCCTGCCCCTCCCTAGCCCCTTTGTCAGCCCCAGCCCCTTACCTGGGCTCCCACTCTCTTCTTTGTGCTCTTGACCCAGTTCCTCTGCAGCTGTCCAGGCCAGGAGGAGCTGCCACTCCCTCACTGGCTGTGGCCTGGCAGGCTGACTGCTGAGCTCGCCTTGGGAGAGAACCTGTGGGATAGGCTTCCAGGAGTCTGGCCTGAGTGCTGGACCTTGAACCTGACCACTGGGTTCTGGAGCCAGCCTGCTCTGTCTTCCAGGTTTCCCTGACCTGGCTCAGCCCTACTCCTTCTCCACATATGAGGGCTCCCCCTGCTGGCTGTCCTAGTTCAGCCAGCATGCCTTTGTCTCCAGGGGCCAGTTCCCTACCCCACACCCCTCTTATGTTCTCCGGGAATCCTATGTCCCCTTCCCCAGACAGTATTGGAAGGGGGGGCATCTCTTCCTTTGCCTCCTTTTTGTCTTAACTGGCCTGACCCTAAACCTGATAATCCCTTGTCTCGTCTCCAGACCTCTACTGACATCCCTAAGACAGAGATACCAGCTCCGATTCTGCCTCCGACTCCCACACCCTTGGTCATCGCCACCACTGTGACTATTGACCGCAATGTCACCATTCTAGAGGTTGGTAGGAAGTAAATGGGGCTGGAAGGGAAGGTCCCTGGGCAGATAATGAGGTCAGGGCAAACTTTGGTCTGTCCTAATGTCCTCAGGGTGGAACTGAACTCCGGACCCTGGAGACTGAGTTAGCCAGAGAGGATGAGGAAGGAGGTGGCCCAGCAATGGGCCCTGACTTCAGGGCAGCAGAACAGTCATCGCGGGCTCAGTTCCAGATCTTTCCTGTGAGTCTGGGTGACTGGGTTAGGCACAGGGGGAGCCATGCATGGTCATATTCTCTCTCTTGCCTTCTTTTTATCCTGCTTACAGTGCCTTCCCACCACCCCAGTGCAGTTGACAAATATTTATCTATAGACATTGTGCTAATGTGACAGGCATTGTGCTAATAGATGGCTCCGTGGGTGGAGTGATTCATTCAACTTCTAGTCTAAGCATGATGAGAAGCCACTGGAGACTGAACAAGATCTGATTCAGTTTTAAAAAGTCCCTTCTGGCTGCTGAACAGCGTATGGACTGTAGGGGGAGCCAGAGGGGCAGCAGGGAAATCAATGGTCTCAGCAACGGAAGGTGGTGATCTGGAGGAGGGCAGTGGAGGTGGGGATAGAAAAAAGTGGACAGATTTGGGTCATGCTCCATTTAGGTCTTGCTGCTGGAAGTGGAGAAAGATGTAAGAACGATGGTAGATTCCTGATGGGCCCATTGAGTGAGATGGGGAAGTCTGAGGGGGGAGGAGCAGGTGGAAAGTGTCAAGGATCCCATTTGGGATATGCTAAACTGGCAACCCCTGTTTGGCATCCAAATGAAGATGTCAAGTGGGTGGTTGGTTAGAAGATTCTGGAGATCAAGGGAGCTGGTCTAGGTTGGAGATAAAGACTTGGGACTGACCAACAGAGAGATACTATTTTTAGCCAAGGAATTCTATGAAATTGCCTAGGAAAATAACGCAGGCAGAGGAGCAGTCCAGGTTCCAGACTTGGTGTTGGACAGGGGTGGGATAATTCTAATTTACTCTGAGTGCCTGTTATGTGCCACGTATTATTTTAACATATTCATATTTTCATAGGATATATACAGTCATTATTCACCCAGTGGCTTTTCAGGGGAAGGCATAGAAGTTAAATAAGATGCTGAACATCTATCAGCTAGTGAGAGACAGCTCCAGGATTAGAACCTCACAACAGACTAGAGTTTGTGTTCTTCACCTGATGCAGCATGGCCAGGCTGCAGCTGGAAGCTGAGCTGCTCAGAACATATTGGTTGAAGAAAGGACAGCAGAGGCAGCTCAGAGGATGGACTGTGCGCTTGCGTGCATGTGCTTGCGTGTGTGCGTGTGTGTGTGTGAGGTTAGGTAGCTGGGAACTCTTTGTCTGAGTTTCAGGGCTCATACCTCTTTTCTCTCCACCCCCATCCCAGGGCACGGGGGAGAAGGGAGCAAAAGGGGAACCTGCAGTGATTGAACAGGTGAGGGGCCTGGGGCCTGGGACTGGGAGGAAGTGGTGGGATCTGGGCTAGAATGGGAGTCACACTCATTACTCCTTCAGGGACAGCAGTTTGAGGGACCTCCAGGAGCCCCAGGACCTCGTGTAAGTTATGGCTGCATTCCCCTCTTCCTGTCTTTTTCTTTCAGTTGGGCTATTTGAGCCCCTGCGGTGAGCAGTTGGGATGTAATATTGCCAGGTCTTTTAAAGACTATTGGACATTTGAGGCTCAAAGCATGTCAAAATAGGGATCAGGGTGTAAAGAGCAATGATGTGGGTCAGTATAGTATTAGGGGGCCAGGAATGGCTCAGTGGTGGGGTGGGAAGGTCAACATGGGGTCAGGTCAGTGGTGGGTCAGAAGTCAGCCTGGTTCAAACTGTGCACTTTTCATGACTCTGTTCCTCTATCCTCAACAGGGGGTAGTGGGCCCCTCAGGCCCTCCTGGACCCCCAGGATTCCCTGGGGACCCTGGTCCTCCGGTAAGAGACTCACCCAGGGTATATCCATCTGGGGGAATGAGGTTTCGGGCTGTGGAGCAGAGGTTGGCAGCATGGATGACTGAACATGGGTCTGAGAGGCTGGGACTGGGGATACCATCCTGGAGCTGGTACTGACCCCTTCTGCTCCCCTCTCTCCCCATCTGTGAATTGTCACTCTGGCTCTGGCTTCTCTTCTGTCTCTGGGGACCTGTCTCCTGCTTTTCTACCTCTGTCTGTTTATCTCTAAGTGTCTTTTCTCCCTATTTTTCTCCCTATGTCTCTGTTTCTTTATCTCTCTTCTGTCTTTCTCTCTCTGTGTTTCTGTCTCTGCTACTTTTTATAACTCTCTCCCTTCATTTTTCTGTTTTTCTCTTGCCTACTCTTTCTCTTTCTCTCTACCTTCATCTTTCTCTGTCTCCCTGTCTCTCCTCTCCTTGTCTCTCCCTGCCTCCCTCTCTCCATCACTCTGCTTCTGCCCCTCTCCTCCTCTGTCTCGCTGTCCCGTGGCCTCTCTTAGGGCCCTGCTGGCCTCCCAGGAATTGCTGGCATTGATGGAGTCCGGGGCCTACCAGGAACTGTGATCATGATGCCGGTAAGAAGGAGACAGGGTGGCACAGCCCTGGGGGGTGGAATCTCTCCTTGAAGCTCCCCTCACTATCAGTTGCCTGCTAGTTTCAGTTTGCAAGCAGCTCACTCAAAGGACCTCCAGTCTCCTTTCAGCAGGCCCAGGCTCAGGCTATACTGCAACAGTCTCAGGTGCGTGAGGGACAATCAAGGGACCGATGTGGGGAGGGGGTGGTAATGGGAGTACATCAAGGGAATGGCAGAGATGAGGGATAATAAAGGGCTAGCCAGGAGACAGGTAGATCTTTTTCTCTTAAAGATCCCTTTGGTGGAGGGTGGGGGTGTTGGCGTCTTGTGGGAGATCTGAGGCTCTGTTGTTCTCTGTCTTTCCAGCTTTCTATGAAAGGCCCTCCTGGCCCAGTAGGGCTCACTGGACGCCCAGGCCCTGTGGTGAGTAAAGAGGCTGCATGAAGGAGGGAGACACATCAGTGGAAAGGGAGAGTCTACTTTAATCACATTACCCCATCTCTTCTTCCAAGGGTCTCCCTGGGTATCCAGGTCAGAAAGGAGAGATGGGAGAAATGGGGCCTCAGGTGAGATTGGTGGGGATGGGGATGGGATTGCATGGGAAGGGTCTTCCCCTGCAGGGGTGGGGGAACTTTTTTCTGCCAAGGGCCACTTAGATATTTATAACATCATTCATGGGCCATACATAATTATCAGCTTAAAAATTAGCCTGCTCTATTTGGTCAGGCTAATTCAGTGAGGTGTGTGATGTTAGCTGGTATTGATTTCACAGGCCTCATAAATCCCATGGGCAGGACATTCCCCATCCTGCAAGGGGCCTAAGGTTGAAGTGCTAGTTGGGGAAAATGGCAAAGGAGCTGGGATACTCTTGCAATTACTGCCCTTCCTAGGGAATGATTTAAAGTAAGTACTTCTGCCCTGGCTGGTTTGGCTCAGCGGTTAGAGCCTTGGCCCATAACCAGAGAGACCTGGCTTCAGTTCCTGCTAAGGGCATGTACCTTGGTTGCAGTTTGTCCCCAGCCCTGGTGGGGGTTGTGTGGGTGGCAGCCACTCGATGTGTCTCTCTCACATCGATGTTTCTCTCTCTCTTTTTCTCCCTCTCTCCTGCTCTGTCTAAAGATGAATGCAAAAATGTCCTCGGGTGAGGATTAAAAAAGAAAAGAAAAGTACTTCCTCCTTATTTTTCTTTCCGTTCTCCTTTTCTTTCTTTTCTAGGGTCCCCGAGGCCTTCAGGGAACTGTTGGGCCACCTGGCCGACAGGGCAAGATGGTGAGTGACTCCTAGGTCCTCAAGTCATCTCTTTTCCATTGCTTGGCACTCAACATGAGCCTCAGCTTTGTGCTCAGGGCCTGATGGGGTCACTGGTGGGATAACAGTAGAGGTCAAAGAATGGCAGTTCCACTGAGTGTGTGACAAAAGAATCTGGCCAGCTCACAGAGGTAGGGAGAACTTGCCAGAGGAAATGAGGCTTGAGTTGAGATCTGAGGTAGAACCAGGTAAAGGAAGAGGAAGGACATTCCAGGAGAAAGAACAGCATGTGCAGAGAGAAATCTGGTACACTGGAGGAAATGATGAATGAGATAATTCCAGATAGTTTAAGTGCCACGAGAAATGCAAAGCAGGGCAGCTAGTGGAGACTGAACATGAAGGTTCTTAATTTTGTGATGATGGTGACTTGGACTAAAGCAAGCGCAATGGTTATAAAGAGTAATAGATGGGTTTGGAAGGTTAGATTAATACACACAGAAGCTCCCAGCACAGGACTCTGCATGCAGAAGGTGCTCAATAAATGGTAACAGGTATCTTGATGGTGTCACCTCCCCCATAGGGCCGCTCTGGAGCAGATGGGGCTCGGGGCCTCCCAGGGGACACAGGACCTAAGGTAGGTGATGGGGCCAGGACTGGAATTGAGGAAATGTCAGGGTCAAGGATTCAAGGCTCAGCTGGTGTCTCTTTCTGCAGGGCGATAGGGGCTTTGATGGCCTTCCAGGGCTGCCTGGTGAGAAGGGCCAAAGGGTAAGTGTGTGAGGTCCCTCCTTCATGCCCAAAGCCCCTCCCAATGTTCCTGAGACCCTCCCCTCTCCACTATCAGAACCTCGGTTCCTGTGTCTGAGTCCTCACCCTTCATATCCCATCTTCTTTCCTGGGGGGCTGATCTCTACTTCTGCCTTTCAATACTGAGCTCCCTTCTGTTCTCCACCCCAGGGTGACTTTGGCCATATGGGGCAACCTGGTCCCCCAGGAGAAGATGGTAGGAAGGTAAGTTTGAAAGAGAGTTAGAAGATGGTTTGGGCTGGAAAGCCAGAACAAGAGTTAGAGAGGAGCAGAGAATTCAGAGGACAAGATAAGGGGTGAGAGTCTGCACTTGAGGCTCAGGAGGCCCTGGTGAGGCTCAGAAAGACGGCTGGAGAGCTGCAGGCTAGCCCTGGAGTTGGGAGGCCAGAAATAGGATGGCAGGTTCAGGTTTGGGGTCAGGGGCCTGGATCGAACCACATATGCTCAGTCAGCTGGATCCTGCCGCATGCTCTGACTCTGGGATCCCCTGGAAAGGGCTGCCCAGATGAGGAAAGGTGGTTTTCCAAGGGTCCTTTTTTTCCCTCCCCCTAAGATGATGTTTTCCTCACAGGGAGCAGAGGGACCTCCGGGGCCCACTGGCCAGGCTGGGGAACCGGTGAGTATCAGGACCACTTGCCTGGGCAGGAGACAGAAGTCAGAACTTGTGGGGCCTCAGAGCAGAGATGAGGGAATAACGTTTCTACTTGCAGGGCCTTCGAGGACTGATTGGCCCTAGAGGCTCCCCTGGCCCCTTGGGAAGCCCGGTGAGGATGTCACTTTCTCTCGGCACCTGTGCCTGTTTTCTCACTTTTCTCTGCATGTCCCTCCTGTCGCCTGGTTTCTTCTCTGTGCACTCACCTTTGCACCTGCACCTCGCAGTGTCTCAGACATGTGTCCCACACGTGTGTCTGCCCCGGTCTCACAGCTTTTCCTCCCCCAGGGCGCAGTTGGAATTGATGGTGCTCCAGGTGCCAAAGGAAATGTGGTATGTGTTCCACCCTCTGACCCCAGTGCTTTCTGACACTCTGAACCCGTGACTCCATATCCTTGTCTACTCCCATGATCCCTGACCATGTCAACTTTACCTCAACACCCTGATCCCTTTCAGCTTCACAAGACCTTGCTTTCTCCCCAGGGTCCTCCAGGAGAACCAGGTCCCCCAGGACAGCAGGGAAATCCTGGGCCCCAGGTTTGAGCTATCTTTCCCAATAATGTAGGGTGGTGATGGTCAGCCAAGGTCATAGACCACTCCCAGTCTCCCCAACTGCAGCATTTATCATCCCTTTCTCATGTCTTCCTTTGCCACCCCCCTCTTTTTTAAAATGTCTCCAGGGACTCCCTGGCCCCCAGGGACTCATCGGCATTCCTGGGGAGAAGGTGAGTGACAGCTCTATTTGTCCCCTTTACCCCCACCATGTCTTGTTTCAATATTGTCTGCAGGAAAACTTCCCACTGGGTCCCCTTTTATTAGCTCTGGATAATGATAAATCGCAACATTTCCTAAACAAGCCCAGAGTTGCCAAGTGTCATTGTTGGTTAAGGGTAGGTTGTGAGAAATTGAAAGCCATCAAAGCTAGATCACATAAGGGGATATTGTCAGGATACAGGGTACCCTCAGAAGCCAGTCATAGAAAATATTACCAAGACTCATGGGTCAGGAAAGCCCTTTCTCCTATGGTGTCAGCCCTGTTCTTCTGCACATGTTTCCATCTCCCCTGGCAAACAGGCTTCTTTCTACACATATTTTAGTGTGTCCTTATCCCAACTTTCATTTCTCCATGATCTTGAGCTGCTCTGTTACCATAGCTCCCATGACTTTGTAGTTTCTTTACCCCAATCCAGCTGATCCTAGTTTCTATTGGGTAAAATTCAGGAAAGAATCTGATTGGCTTAGCTGGGCCAAATTGCCTGCCTCTGTTTTTATGACATAGGGAATAACCTGTTAACAGTTTGCAGGACATAGGAGCTCACTTCATGCCTGCCAAGGCCCATCCTTCTTCAGATGATGCTGTGGGAGGGAGGTACTTCTAAAGAAAGGGGTGTGGCTAGGGAGCTCCCACTTCAATATGTCTCTCACACTGTATTTTCATCCCTTGTCTCAACCCTCCCAGAGGCTGAAGATTTCCGAGGCTCAGAGAGAGGAGGGGGCTTAGCCAGGGTCTCAAGGAAGTCTGGGAAGAGTTGGGGCTAGATTTCTTGGCCTAAGGGATCTGCTTGTTTGAAACCTTGATGTAGCTGCATGTCTGAGCAGGGCTGTCCCTGCTGGAATGTCAGGCTCTGAGACCCTCTGTCTCCTTCTACTTTTCATTATCTTTCAGGGTTCCCCTGGACACCCAGGAATTCCAGGCCTCACAGGATCTGATGGTCCTCTGGTGAGAAATGGATGCTGGAAGAAGGAGGAAGAAGAAAGGGGGAGGCTTGGGAATTTGGGTGGTAAATGTAGGTCTCTGACAACTTAGAATATTTTCCCCCAGGGTCACCCAGGCCACGAAGGCCCCACAGGAGAGAAAGGGACCCAGGTAAGTGATCTAGTGAGAGGCTGGGTTGGGAATAAGTGTTGGTAGGCAGGGCTAGGAATCGAGGGCTAATGAGGAGAGAGATGAGGGAACTGAGAACATGGAAGGGGAAAGAACAGGATGGCATTAATCTTTCCTTCATCTTAGGGTCCACCAGGGTTGGCAGGCCCGCAGGGATATCCTGGACCTCGGGGTGTGAAGGTAGGTGATACCTGGGGCCTGCCGTTAGAGGTCATTCATCAGCATTGGCTTCAGGGAAGCTTCTCCATCAGAAACATCTTCATGTGTGTGAAAGGAATCAGTCTGCCAGGCAAGGTGTAGCAGAGTGGGGTTTGGGTCTGATTGGCAATACATAGAAGTGAGTGTTACTTTGGAGCTGAACAACCAAAGGACAGTGTTACAGTGTAGTCGTCACCTTGTAGTTGAGAACAGTTAAGTCCGTTTGAGGCTGAACCCATTTTACTGTAAGCACATATACCATGTCCAAGTCCAGGTCAGCACATTGTAGTGCAGTAGAGGTTGTTTTAAAGCTCAAGTTCAGAGTCATGTGATCTATAAGCAGAGTCATGGGACAAAGTGAGAGCTGCACTGTGGCTAATTAGAGGTGCACTGTTGACTAAGGGCAGGGACTTTGGAATTCACATCTATTTGGTAGCTAATTCCAGTTACATTGTAGCCAAGTACAGGTACACATTGCCTGTGGTCTAAGAACAGAATTTGGTGGTAGCCAAGAGTTGGCTCTTCACATTTTTGCATTGTAGACAAGCTTAGTTACACTATAACCAGGGAAGAAGCTATTTTATAGCATGACACAGAGTCCTGTGGGTGGCCAAACTCAGAGTTACATTGTAGTCAGTCATAGTTAGATATAATTGAAACCTTTGTTATAGCTGACTCTAGTTACATAGTAGCCAGGGCCAGAAAACAGTTGTTGCCAAGCTCAGTTACTTTGTGGTCAATTTGCCCTGTGCCTGGAAAGGTCATGCTGTTGTCAAAACACATAGTAGATTGTATCCAAGTGCAATTTTACTGTAATGAATGAGCTCAGTTACATTGTGTCTCCCTGTGGCTGAAGACAGTCATGCTATTGTCAAAACACATAGTTAGACAGTATCCTAGAGTAAGTTCATTGCAGTCTCTAAGCTCAGTTACACTAGTGAAGTGCAGCTTTCCTTGGGGCCCAAGCCCAGAATTTGGTGTGAGCAGCATCTGGGCTTGCACTGAGCAATCTCCCTGTAGCCAAGCACAGACTTGCCTTGTTGCCAGGCACAAAGTCACATTGTAGCCAGTACAGTGGGGAACATTCCTTTTCCTTTAGAGTGAGGCTGGGGCCTGAAATGTTCATTCTCCTTCTCCAGCCAGAAGGAAATGTGGACACAGTGTTCCTGGGAGATGGGAATTAATTACTTGGAAATTTGGCCTTCCTTGTACATCCCCACACAGATGACCTTGGGAGGCTGCCAGTGAGCAGGGGCGGGAGAGAGGCAGCTTCTTGCACACCACACTAGTGGGTTTTGGGAAAGATAATTTCTTCTGAGGCTGCCCCCACCCACTCTAGTCCAACATCCTCTTGGGACTGTCTTGACTGTTTTGGGGCAGGGGATTGAAAGCTTTTTTATTTTTCAGGGTACCTCTGGCAACCGGGGCCTCCAGGGGGAGAAAGGCGTGAAGGTAAGAAGGGAGGGGATTCCTTGGGCGGGGGGGGGGGGGGGGTAGCACTAATAATGTGGCTCTGCCTGTGTCCCTTCCCTGAAATCCTGACTTTTGACTTCTGTACTCTCTCCCATTCAGGGAGAAGATGGCTTTCCAGGCTTCAAGGGTGATGGGGGGCTTAAAGGCGACCGGGTAAATTGATCTGCAGATAAGGGGTCTTATGGATTGGAAGGACTTGGGGAAGACAGGGAGGGGGTGAGTTGGGGCTAAGACAGGTTGCTGGAGGGAGCAAGAGTGACAAAAGGACTGATATCTGGGCCTCTCCTTTCTATTCCAGGGGCACCCAGGACCCCCAGGTCCCCGGGGAGAGGATGGTCCTGAAGGGCTAAAAGGGCAGGAGGGGCTGCCTGGTGAGGAGGGGCCTACAGGCTCAGCTGGGGAGAAGGTGAATGGATGCTGGTCACCCTCTCCAGTCCACCCTCCAGCTTCTGATCCTGTGTTCCCTGGCCTTTTGCCTTCTCCCTCTGCCCTTTTCTTTCCAACCCCAGAAGGCTGCTACCCTCCTTATCATCTCCTTTAACTCCTCAGCTCAGCATTACAGAGCAATTCCATGCACATCATCTGATTTTTATTCCCATAACTACTCCATGCAACAAGCATTTTCATTCCCATTTTATAGACAAGGAAACTGAGATTTGGAATGATTGAATGATCTGCCCAAGGACAGGCTCCTATCAGGCAGGAGCCAGGACCTGAAGCTATGTTGCCTGAATCTCACCCTGCTGCTCATTCTACCATGTCCCAGCCATCCTGCCGTTTCCCCTCTGACCTCCAGCTTGCAATTTCTGACCTCTGTTTCATAATCTCTCTTCAGGGAAAACTTGGGTTGCCAGGTCTCCCAGGTTACCCAGGACGTCCAGGCCCTAAGGTAAGAAGCTAGGGGACTGAATGTAGGCAAGGGCAGGGTTCAGAGACCAATTGACATCTGTGGTCTGGACTGTGGTCTGGGGGTTGAGCAATTCACCCCATGGGTTATTGATAAACAGCTTAAGATATAGGCTTTGGCAACAGGCAGACTTGGGCTCAAATACCCACTGTGTAACCTTGGGCAAGTCACCCCTCTCCTGCTAAGTGACCCTCAGCAAGTCTCTTGAGCCCATTTTTTTTTCTTTCCCTCACTCGAGGACATTTTTCCATTTTTTGTTCAGATAGAGCAGGAGAGAGAGAGAGGAAGAGAGAGAGAGAGAAACATCGACGTGAAGGGACACATCGAGTGGCTGCCACCCGCACGACCAACCAGGGCCGGGGACAAACTGAAACCGAGGTACGTGCCCTTAGCAGGAATCGAACCCAGTCTCTCTGTACCACAGGCCAACGCTCCAACCGCTGAGCCAAACCGGCCAGGGCCCATTTTTTTTTTTTTAAGTTGCATAGTGGAGATACCACTAGTATGTTTTTTACCCATTTGATTATAATAATGAGGATTTTTATGATAAAAAAAATTTGCAGGATCCTTTTTATTTTGTGTGATTTAAATTGGTTTAAATAGAGTCAGTAAGAAGAATAATCATAAAAAATACATATCTTACATATCTTGAATTACTTATAACTTACAGTAAAATGTACATACATAAAAATGCACATTGCTTGCCAATGCTTTGATGGATGAGGCTACTGATTAGACATGTCTTTCTGCCACAGCTACACCCATATTACATCATTAATGATTTATAGTTTTTGTTTATATGAAGTGGAGCAGAAGCTTAAAAACACTTGGGAAGAAATCTCAGTGTAGAATCCTTCCAGAGTTCCATGCTTTGCCCTCTCAATCTGGCAGTTATCCTGCCCAAGCCTAATTTGACAGCATTTTTTTTAGTGACTTCCCTTTATATTGAGTCTTTTCCATTTAACTTAGACTTGATAGACATCTTACTTTTTCTTTCTACATTTCATCAGCTTTTATAAACTTTCATTAAGTCACATGACTCTAATAGCAAGGGCAACTGATATTCTTAGGTTTGGGAATAAACTCAAGGCACCATAACTAAGAATAAAACTCAGTCTGTGGGAGAAGTTCATGGAAGTTAGAGCAGTCACTGAGCCAAGACTGGTCAGTGTGTCTTGGGCATTGAGTAATGCATCATAGGAGGCATGGTGTGTCTGTTACATTGAGGTCAATGTCTTAGTTAGCTCAGGCTGCTATAACTGAGACTGGGCAGCTTAAGCAACAGAAATTTGTTTCTCACAGTTCTGGAAGGTGGCAGTCTGCGATCAGAATGCCAGCATGGTTGGGTTCAGTTCTGGTGAGGGCTGTAGATGTAGATGTCTGTCTTGGTTTGTAGATGTCTGTCTTCTTTCCGTATCTTCACATTGTGTGTGTGTGGGGGGGGGGGAGGGAGGAAAAGAGAGAGAAGGGAGGGGAGAGACCTAGCCTCCTCTTATTTAATTTTGTTTATTTTTTTTATTGCTTTTAGAGAGAGAGGAAGGGAGAGGGAGAGAGAGATAGAAACATTGATGAGAGAGAACATCGATTGGCCGCCTCCTGCATGCCCTTCACTGGGGATTGAGCCCACAACCTGGGCATGTGCCCTGACCAGGAATCGAACCAGCAACCTCTTGGTTCATGGTTCAACACTCAACCACTGACCCACACTGGCCAGGCTCTCCTATTTTAAGGGCAATGATTACATTCATGAGGGCCCCACTGACATGACTTAATACCTCTCAAAGGACTCACCTCCAAATGCCATCACACTGGGTATTAGAGCTTCAGCATGTGAATTTTGATGGGAGACTATTCATTCCATATCAGCTAGTAACAATCAGAAATAACAATGACAGCTAACATTTCTATGTGCCAAGCATTGTGTAAAACACTTTCTACACTTTATCCTACTTAAGCCTTGTGAGGGGGATATTGTTGACTACAAACAGGGAGACTGGTTCCCAGAGGGGTTAAGACATTTTTCCAGGGCCAAACAGTGGTGGATCTGGGATTGAAAACACAGTGGGAGGTGTGATGTCTTTCTCCAGGTGGAGGGAGATGCCTCCAAGGTGGGCAGAACAGGATGGACTGGAGTGGGTTAGTTAACAAATACACCAGGCAGTGGGGAATAAGCACTATGTCCTAGTTGCAAAAACATGTTGACTAAGTAAGCACGTGAATAAGGTAATTTCCATACAAATATTATGGGAAAAACAAACTAGGACAATGTGATAGACAGAGGGTGACTCAGAGGATGTGGTGGTCAGGAAGGCAGCAGAAGCCAAATGTCTGAATGATATCTAAATGATGAGGAGTAGCCGGCTCTGTGGGGACCTGAGAGCATCTGAGGCAAAGGGAACAGCCAGCGCAAAGGCCTTGGGCAGGAGAGCATTGGTGACCTCCCAGTAGCATTGAGGAGGCCAGTGTGGCTGGAGCAGCATGAGCAAGAAGGAAGAGTGAGGGGAGAGGAGAGCAGAGGGTTGTTCTGGAGGAGGCTGGGGTTGGAGGACCAAAGAAGCTTTCCAGTGGCCTGGAAAGGCCTGAAAGAATGGGATGGATGAATGGGGTGAGGGACCAACGTGGTCCACCACCCACACTCCTCAACCCATCTCTTTTCTCTGATTCTCTCTACTCAGGGATCTACAGGCCTTCCTGGTCCTCTGGGACCTTTAGGAGAGAAAGGGAAGCGGGTGAGTCATAATGGAGGGGAAGGGAAGGACTCAACTGGGGGACAATATCCGTGGCTGTGCATGATGGTGGGTGGGACCCTTCTTCTTCTCCAGGGTGTGTGTGTCTATGCTAGAAACCCTTGTGGTACACCCTTCTCTCCATATATAATGCAGGGCACATTTAGGCGACTAACCTGGCACTGTGGCACATGTACCTATGCGTACCAGTGTGCTTGTGTGTCCCGTGTGCCTCTCATTGCAGATTAGATGAGATGTTAGTGCTGTAGCCTGTGGATCTGTGACTGAATGAACAGGGCATGAGCCTGCGTACATTGTGTGACTGTAGACATAAATGTATGTGAGGAGCATGTACTCATGTGTGAAAGGATATAATACATACACGTGTGCATTTCTGTGTACACTGAGTGACTGTACACACACATGCATTACTTTGCTCTGTGTGTATTGTTACTGAGTAAATGGACACTGTGTATGTGCACATGAGTGCATGTATGTGCTGTGCTTATCGGGACTGCATCCTCACATAAATCCATTCATGTATGTATTTACACTGAGTGTACACATGTTCAAGGAACATACTGCATGATGGGCTTCACATGTCAGCCTGAGACTGCAATCACCCAGTGCATGTCATGATTGCATGCAGTCATGTGTGTAGCTATGATAAATAGGTGTCCATGTGGGCAAACATGCTTGTATGTGTGGATCCCATAGGTACAGCCATACATGTCTGATCTTTGCGTGGTTGTGTGTGTGTGTGAATGAAAAGCTTGCAAATAAGTGGAGGCAGACATCTTTCTAGGTCTGGGTGCCTTTGTGTGTGTCACTGTTTGCACCATAAGTCTCTTTTGCTTCCCCCTCACCTGATTGATTTTCCAGGGGAAGGCCGGGCAGCCAGGTTTGGAAGGAGAACGGGGACTACCAGTAAGAAAATGTAGAACTTCCCCCACCCCACAGGGTCTACGAGATTGTGCGAGGGGAGTTGGGGAGGTCAAGTCGGCAAGGAAGAGGATTGGGGTTATATTGGTGTTCCTAGAGGGACAAGAGGGGGAGTCACGGCGGGAGGAGACCCAGAGGACTTGATCTCATTTCCGGGGCTCCCCCACCCTCTTATTTCTAATCTTTGCTTCTTTTCTATTCAGGGCTCCCGTGGAGAGAGGGGGCAACCGGGTACCACAGGGCAACTGGGCCCCAAGGTATGGGGTGGGTGGGTGATCTGGCACGCCAGGCAGGCCCTCTGCCCAGGCTCACCGAGTTTTTCCCAGACCCTCCCAGTTGAGTTTGTTCTGTAGCCTGAATCTCATTCACTCTGTCTTAGGGTGATGTGGGCCAGGATGGGGCCCCTGGGATCCCTGGAGAAAAGGTGAGTGTGTGTGTGTGTGTGTGTGTGTGTGTGTGTGTGTTTATGGGTAGGAGACAAATCCAGGAGGTAGGAAGACATTATAATACAGCAGAAAGAGCACAGCCTCTGAAGTCAGAGCCATGAATTCAAGTCCTACCTTGACCACTTACCTGCTGTGTGACTTTGGGTGAGTCACTGAACCTCTCTGGTTCTCAGTTTCTCCCTCTGCAAGATGGGAATAACCACAGTCCCACCCCAAGGTCTGCAGTGGTGAATGAAATGACTTCTGTGTGCCAGGCCCTATGCCTAGCATGCAGCAGTTTCTCAGTCTGTGCTGGCTCTTGTCATTATGTGGGGTTCAGGGGCACCAGGCAGGAGAGATGAGTAATTACTTCTGGTTCCATTTCAGGGCCTCCCAGGCCTGCAGGGCCCCCCTGGATTCTCTGGGCCAAAAGGTCCCCCCGTAAGTGAGCTCACCCTGGTCGGGGTGGGTGAGAGGGGAGCTGGGGAGTGGAGAGGCTCCTTATTTGTGCCTCAACTCTCTCTCACCTTGTCCTTCAGGGCCCCCAGGGGAAAGACGGGCGACCTGGGCACCCAGGGCAGAGAGGAGAATTGGTAAGTGACCCTTTGACCTCTGATTCCATTAGGCTGTCCATTTCTCCCCTCACCCCCATGTGACACCTCCTTTTAATTTTTCTTCCAGGGTTTTCAAGGCCAAACAGGCCCACCTGGTCCAGCTGGCGTCGTGGGTCCTCAGGTCAGAGTGGATCCCACAAGTTCCTCTAGTTTTGTACCAGTTGGGGTATATTTCAGGGGGAAGTGGATCTCAGACAGACCCCCACCCCAGATCACCTTTATTCAAGATGAGCCTTCTTCTTCTCCAGGGAAAGACAGGAGAAGCAGGACCTCTAGGTGAGAGGGGGCCCCCAGGCCCTCCTGGACCTCCTGGTGAACAAGGTCTTCCAGGACTGGAAGGCAGAGAGGGGGCCAAGGTGAGACCCTGCCCTGTGGGGGAGCTTGGCAGAGTGGCCCCAAAGCTCCCTCAATGGCCCCATGCCACCTGAAGGCTCAGAATTAGCCCCATGGAGAAGAAGACTCAGACTAGGGGGAGACAACCCTTCTCTGGAGCCTGACCTTCCTCTTCTGCACTCCTGCAGGGGGACCTGGGGCCACTGGGTCCCCTTGGAAAGGAAGGGCCACCTGGACCTAGGGGCTTCCCTGGCCCCCAAGGAGCCCCAGGGGACACTGTGAGTATATTTTGGAGCCGTGTGTGTGTGCCTGGCTGGGCCGTGAAGCAGAGAAGGAAACAGGGGGCCTAGGGCAGGGACATGGTGTGAAAGTAAAAGATTGACAGCAGGGGGGGACCAACCCCTGAACCTCAGAGCCTGGAAGGGAGTGAGAACTGTGAAGACAAGACCTGGGGGTACCTGTGGGGTCTCTTGACTGTGACTCATCTCCTCCTTCAGGGACCTACTGGTTTGAAGGGTGACAAGGGCCCCCCGGGCCCCATCGGTGCCAATGTAAGTACAACCCCATCTGCTGGGTGGGTACCAGGGTGGAGGGAACTTGGGGTGTCTGTGAAGCTAGGTATTGTCATTATTAAGTCCACTATTTTTGGAGCCAGACAGGCCTGGGTCACATCCACCTGGTGGGTAGTCATGTCACTCTGTGAGCCTCAGTGTCCTCATCTGTAGCAAAGCCCATCTCATAAGTTATTGCACAACTTGATGAGATGGCTCATCTGACACATGCTTCCCTGCCTGCTAGACAAAAACATATAAACTCTCCTTTCTTCTGGAGGTTACATTCTAGCTGGGGAGACCAGAAATCAGCAATGATGAATGTCCCAAGACAAAGTAGCACAGAGAGAGAAGAGCAGTTGAGATAGGCTGGTCAGGGAAGGCCTCTGAGAAGGCAGCCTATGAGTTGAGACCTGAGGAGGTAAGGGAGGAGCTGTGTGGATGTGGGGGGAAGCATTCCAGGCAGAGGAACAGCATGTGCAAAGGCCCTGAGGCTGGACCATGCCTGGCTTATTGGAGGAAGAAGCAAGGAGTTCCGTGTGGCTGGAGGGGAGTGAGAGGGTGAAAGTAGGAGAAGGTGAGGGCAAGGATGGGTCAGGGGCAGGTTGTGCAGGACCTGGTGGGCTGCTAGGAGGTCTTCTCTTTTTTTTTTCCGAATGAGGAGGGAGCCCTGAAGGCTGTGATTAAAGGAGGCACTTGCCCTGACTTAGGTGTTCACAGCGCCCTCTGCCTGCTGTGTGGGGAACACACTGGATACGTGCTTGTAATCACCTAAACTCAGCACCTGGCAGCTTGAAAATCCTCCAGAAATGAGGACTACTACTATTGCTATTTTTCCTGACCACTCACCCCTGTTTTCAGGGTTCCCCTGGGGAGCGTGGGCCTGTGGGCCCAGCAGGAGGCATTGGGCTTCCTGGCCAAAGCGGAGGCCAAGGCCCTGTTGGCCCTGCAGGCGAGAAGGGGTCCCCGGTAAGTGCTCTGCCCACCTCCTTCCACATGCCAGGCTCTCCACATACCAGGACTTCACTTTTGCCCTAGCCCCTAACATCTCTCCTCTACTTCCACATCAGGGTGAACGTGGTCCCCCTGGCTCCACTGGCCAAGATGGGATCCCAGGGCCTCCGGGGCTTCCAGGACCCCCTGGAGCTGTGGGCCCTTCTGGTGAGGAAGGGGACAAGGTAAGAGTTCATGGAGAGGGAGGAGCTGGGAAGGCTGGGGGTAGGGAGGCTGGAGTGCTCCCTCATCTTTTTTCCTCTGCAGGGGGAAGTGGGCACTCCTGGTCACAAGGGGAGCAAAGGCAATAAGGGGGATGCAGTAAGTGGGGGGCCCCTCTGTGGGGGTGGGTTTTCAGGGAGAGAGAGGGATGTGGAGGATGGGTGGACAGGGGAGTCGTGGAGCTTCCTGCCTTCCTGAACCCCATCTTGACATCTGCAAGTCACAGAAGCCACTCAAAGTACCTGAAATGGAGGACCCAACAGAGTGGTTGGGGCCCCAGGGGAATGGGGAGGGTGCTGAGGCAGTGACTGCCTCCTCTCCATTTCCTTGGTGGCACATCGTTGTCTCTGGCTGTGACTCGGCATGGCTCTGAGGCATCTCACTCCAGCTTCCCTTTGGGACTTCGGCCCCAGCTCCCAGCACTGGTCCAGGGGTACTGCTGGGACTTCTGGGGAAAAATCCTGAGGGGCCAAGCTTAGGACAGATGTCTGTGTCTGATCCTATCAGGTGGTGGATAGGTAGACAGGGTTGGGGTGTGTGTGCACAGCTGTGGCTTCCTGGTGGGGGAAGTGACCACGGGAAAGTAATTGACATCTCTAGTGCCACCCTCCAACTTGAGGGTTATTCAACTCTGTTTCCTCTTCCAGGGCCCACCTGGACCAATAGGGATACGGGGTCCTGCGGGACACCCAGGTTCCCCGGTAGGTTCTTCTGGTTTTGTGACCATCTCCTGAATCCCTGGTGGGAAGGGACAATGTCCTACACCTGGACTCAGACCCAGACTCAATTCCATCCTTAATCTGCTCCTCCATGCTGACACCCAGTATGAACTCATCCCAGAATCTGACTCAATCTGAACTTTAGCCCCAACCCTAATCCCATCTCAGTCCTCATCTCAACCCCGCTTGTGACTTTAAACCCAATCCCAACTTAAATCTTATCTTCAAATACTTCATTAGCCAAAACCTGACCCGGTCCTACCCTAACCCCAACCATGACTCACTCTCTAAACCTGAGCCCAAACCTGAGTTCAAACTTGGAACCTGGTCTTGGCTCCAACCTCAAACCCAACACTAAATTGCATCTTTACCCCATCTGAACTCTGCTTATGATCTTGACCTCAATCTGAACCTGACTTATCACCTAATATCCATCTCAAAACTTTGACTCAACCCTTGACTTCATTCTCAAACTCTGACCATTAATCCATACTCCAACTCCAAACCTAACCCTGACCCTCCCCACATTTAATCCTAACCCTGACTCCAACCATCAACCTCAATCCTGACTTTGACCCTGAACCTATTTCCAACCATTGACCTCGACCCTAACTTTGCCTGGCCCTCTCCTTCTCCCAGGGAGCAGACGGGGCTCAGGGACGCCGGGGACCCCCAGGCCTCTTTGGGCAGAAAGGAGATGATGGAGTGAGAGGTTTCATGGGGGTGATTGGCCCCCCTGGCCTGCAGGTGGGTGTCTGAGTTAGGGGGTATAGCCTCTGGTTCCACCACCCTATGCCCCAATCTTGCTTCTTTGTTCCACAGGGACTGCCAGGACCTTCTGGAGAAAAGGGGGAAGTTGGAGACGTGGGGTCTATGGTATAGACAATGGGGGAGAAGGTGGAAGGGGAAGGGTAGTGGTAGGGTGAGGATGACCATTAGATCAATATTGGGGGCTATCACAGAGCACAGTGGCATTTTAAGGATCATGTGAGTCACAAGCATCAAGGGTGAAGTTTGTGGTTACTGGAGTCTTTAGGGGGGCATAGGGTCACTTGATGCTATTCTGACTATCCCACAGGGTCCCCATGGAGCTCCAGGTCCTCGGGGTCCCCATGGCCCTAGTGGATCCGAGGTGAGGACTCTGGGCTGAGGAAAGGGCTTCTGAGTTGGGGACGTCTATTTCCCAAGAAGGGGAGGTTGGGATCTCACAGTCCCTCCTCTACCCCTTGCTGTCTCTTTAGGGTCCTCCAGGGCTGCCTGGAGGAGTTGGTCAGCCAGGTGCTGTGGGCGAGAAGGTGAGAGAGAGAGGACAGTGGACTGCATAGGATGGGGGAGGCACAACCAGTCTTGATTGAGGGTGGCTGTCCTGGGGAACCTCTCCCTGTCTTCCAGGATTCAACCTCTCCCTACCCTCACTTTGCCTCCCATAGGGTGAGCCAGGGGAGGCTGGAGACCCAGGACTTCCAGGAGCCCCAGGCATCTCTGTGAGTGACTGTGTCCTGTGCCCCTGCACCAATCTCAGGGAACCCCTAGCTTCTGGGCATCTCAGGCCACCTTGACCTCTGGGCAGTCAAGTCACTGCCCCAGAACCTATGGGCATCCTGGTCTATCTTGATGACAGAGCCTTGGAAGGTGTCAGTGCTACATACAGGTTGTACACTGCACAAGGGTGTGGGACTGAGGGGATACATGGGGGCTCTGGCTTGGGGATGAGCTGCCCACAGGGAGCCCCTTTTTAAATTCACTCAGGGTGGCACATAGGCTAGACCACCCTTGCCCATAACCTCTAGGCAAGTGGACCATCCTGATCCCTGACTCTTATAAGTCCTAGATCCCTTTGACTTGTTACCCTTGGGCAATCTAGGCTACTCTGACCCCTGACCCCAAGAAAACCTCAGACCACCCAGATTCCTAAATCCAGGTATGTTAACCTTGGACCCCTGGAGAGTCCAAACACTTCTGACTTCTGTTTCTGCAAAGGGGCCCAAAGGAGAAGTTGGTGAAAAGGGGGACTCAGGCCCATCTGGGGCTGCAGGACCTCCAGGCAAGAAGGGCCCCTCTGGAGAGGATGGAGCCAAAGGGAATGTGGTGAGTCCTGGGGGAGGTGGAGGCAGAGATGGGGTATGGGCACTTGTGTCTACTCATACCTGTTCCCCAACTTCTAGCCAGGTGTCCTGTCCTGTAGTGTGTTGATTTTATGAGCAACCCAGAACATGACTGACTGACTGACTGACTGAATTAATTAATTAATCAACATGAAAATATAGCGGTTATATGTCATTGTGGGGAGTGAAACTTTCTTCCACATGGAATCATTCTAACAATGCTGGGAATGACAAGTTGAGATTGGCGCTGATATGGGACTTGCCATTGGGCAGATGATACCTTCTGCCATAGTGGTGGGCCTCAGGTTGGGGTGGTGGGGCAGTGAGGAGCTCCAGAGTCTGTGGAACCTCCATTTGGATCTCGCCACCCCACCACCTGCTGTGTCCCTCTGGATCAGTTCTATTTGTGTGTCCTGAGCTTTGAGGCTGCTGGGAGGATGGAATGAGATGATTCATGTAAGGTCCTTAGCTCAGCACCTGCACACATTAAACACTAGAATGTTCTCTCTACCAGGGTGGAAATTTTGTTATGTTCATCATGTATCCCCAGCAACCAGAACTGTGCCTGGGCACCATTTTTCTGTTCGATGAATGAATTAATGTGCAATAATTCCGAGATGTGGTTGTTTATTATTCTGTGTTCCAGGGCCCCACAGGGCTCCCAGGAGATCCAGGACCCCCTGGAGACCCTGGAGTTTCGGTGGGTGTGAGCCCTCCTTCTCCCACCAAGTCCATCATATTCTCTAGTTCTCATCCCCATATACCCCAAAGGTTCCAACTCAACACCACTTACCCCAATAGGCCCCAACTCACACCCACAGGTCCCCCCTCACCCCCCACAGATCCAGTGTCCCCATCTCCCCACCCCCATAGACCTAGGCAAGGTCACTGGAACAAGTAACCTTCATTATCCTCCAAGCCTCACCCACAAATTCTCATATGCCCCCATGACCCTTCCCAACTCTGTCCCTTATCTCCACTGCAGGGTCTAGATGGTCCCCCAGGGGAAAAAGGAGACCCTGGTGATGTTGGAGGACCGGTGAGTGAGGAAACAGGATCTGGTACTGGGACAGGGGGTTGGGGCTGGTGACTAGGTAAATTTCAGGGCCAGAATAGTGGGTTAATGAGATACCCAGGGTCCTTGTAGGTATGCTTGAGAGAGGAGGCAAGAGATGGCCGGTGCTGGGGTGATGTTTGGGTGAGGCTGTCTTTGGGTCAAAGGCACCCTGAAACGAAGTCACACTCAAACAACGTTAGCTAATTCTATTCTGGTATTGTTATAATCTCCACAGGGTCCACGTGGTGCTTCTGGGGAGCCTGGCCCCCCAGGATCCCCTGGCAAGCGGGTGAGTGATGACCTGCCTCCTGGCTCTCTGGCCACCCTGACTCCAACCTTGTCCCACTCACCCCAATAGGCCCTCACTCATCTTCACAGGCCCCTCCTCACTCCACAGGTTCCTTCACTCCCTCAGGCCTCCAATCACCCTCACACTTCCCCACTTACCCCCACAGGTCCTCACTCCCCTCCAGAGACCCCCACTCACCCTCACAGGCCCCCACTCACTCACACAACCCCCCGCTCTTCCCCAGAGGGCCCCCTCTAACGTTCTCTCTTTTCTTAGGGTCCTTCTGGCCGAATGGGGCGAGAAGGCAGAGAAGGCGAGAAAGGTGCCAAGGTGAGTGCCCCCTGCCCCAGGAGGGGTCCCTACCCTGACCCCTCAGCTACAGTGGGGCCATCAGAATGGGGAGGGACTCTGACCACCACAGGTGCTCCAGTTCCCTCCATTTTCCTGAAGGTTCTTGGTTAGATTGTTAGGATATGCTCTGACTCTCTCTGCCCTTTCCCTCGCCCCTGTCCATTTTAGGGGGAGCCAGGTCCTGATGGCCCCTTAGGGAGGACAGGCCCTGTGGGCGCTCGAGGGCCCCCTGGACGTGTTGGGCCTGAGGGTCTTCGAGGGATCCCTGGCCCTGTGGTGAGTGGGGCTGGAACAGGGAAGGGGTAGGGGTGGGATGAGGCCCTCCCTATGTGCACACACTTTATAATGTCTCATTGCAATTGGGAGAGGCTGACACTGGCAGGGTAGGGGCATCCACACTGGGTTTTGGCAGGGTGCAGTCCTCCCATATTCTGTTTCATCCCAGGGTGAACCAGGCCTCCTGGGACCTCCCGGACAGATGGGCCCTCCTGGCCCCCTGGTAAGAGACTGCTTTGTGCCTGCGGCCCTGGCACTAAGAACCACACATGACACCCAGTGACCATTGAATGACCATGGGTGCTGATGGTCAGGCTGACCCCTTACTGACTATCTGATGGTCTATCCTGACCTTGTATATTATCCACCCTGACCACTCATCTTGATGGTCTACACTGACCACAGTGACCCTCCACCTTGATGGTGTACACTGACCACAGTGACTCTCCACTTTGATAGGGCAACATGACCATCAATCTTGATAGCCTACATTGACCACCACACCGATCTTCACTGAGCATTCATATTGGCCATCCTCCAGACAACCCCCTCATTATCCCTCATCATCCCTCCTCCCTCCTGACTATCCCCATGATCACATCCCTGGTAATTTTCCTTTGAAATCTGGGAAATTTCCCATTTGACCACCTCCCAGTCACCCACATAGATCTTCAGATTTTATGTTTGAGTCTCACCAGCTGACTCTCCCTCTCCTTCCAGGGGCCCTCTGGCCTCCCAGGGCTGAAGGGAGATGCTGGCCTCAAGGGGGAAAAGGTAAGGATACCTCCTTCTGTTACTTCTCTTCCTCATTTATCCCCATTTCCTCCCTGGCCAGAGGGAGACTGGAGACTTTTCTGCTCCCAAATGCATTACCCAAAGGCTCTAGGAGAAAAGTATCCCAGCACTCCCCTTCTTCCCCCATACATGCCTCTTTTGTCCTTCAGGGCCACATCGGATTAATTGGCCTCATTGGACCCCCTGGGGAAGCTGGTGAGAAAGGGGATCAGGGGTTGCCAGGCGTGCAGGGCCCTCCTGGCCCCAAGGGAGAACCCGTGAGTGTGTGTCCTGCCCCAAGTGGGAAGAATGTGTTCAGAGGAGGGGACAGGTGGGGAGGCAGAGATGGGCTTGTTTGTGGACGGTGGGGATTAGGGGAGCCTGGGTCTGGAATGATAGGTGTTGTGTCTGGGGAAAGTGGGGGCTTTTTCTGGGGACTTGAAGATTGGAGGCTTTTCTGCACCATAGAGATGAACCCTCTCAATGATGACCCTGATGTCCTTTCTCCAGGGTCTCCCTGGTCCCACTGGCTCTCTGGGCCCTCCTGGGCCCCCAGGCGTGGCAGTGAGTATGAGGGTCTGTGAGGTGGGGATCACCATGGTGAGCCAGCCAGAACTCCATCTCTCTCTGTTTCTACCCCACAGGGCCCTCTGGGACAGAAGGGCTCAAAGGGGTTGCCGGTGAGTACTCCCTCTTCCCTTGGGCACCCACATTTCAGCTCCTCACCCCCCTCCACTGCACCAGAACCCTCAATTTCTTCGCACTCATTCATTTATTTAGTCATTCATTCACAATTCAACAAATATTTATTCAACACTTTCTATTGCACTTCATAAAATCTAAGATGCCATCAGTTGTAAGATGTACCATTAGTTTATAAGCTGCCATGAAAAAGAACAATACTGCCAAATAACTATGACTTGCCAGAAGGGTTAAGATGCTGATTTCAGCCCTGGCTGGTTTGGCTCAGCTGTTAGAGTATTGGTCTGCAGACCAGGGAGTCGCAGCTTTGATTCTGGCCAAGGGCATGTACCTCGGTTGCAGTTCGTCCCTGGCCCTGGTTGGGGTGGTGGGGGAGGCAACCAGTCGATGTGTTCGTCTCACACTGATGTTTTCTCTCTCTCTTTCTCCCTCCCACCCTTTCATTCTATCTGAAGATAAATGGAAAAATATCCTGTAGTGAGGATAAAAAAAAAAAAAAAAAAAGATGCTGATTTCAGAGATGTCAAAATATGGAAAGAAAATGTGTGTTTTATCCTTAGTGCTGACAATTGTGCATCACCCCACCAGGGCTCTGTGTGTGCATGCATGTGTGTTGGCAGGAAGGGGTCTCCTTAGACAGAGTGCACCCCCAAAGTGACTTCTCCCTACAGGGATCCCTTGGCCCTCGTGGAGACACTGGACCTGCAGGACCCCCAGGTCCCCCGGTAAGTTCCCCAGGGATGAGGGTTGGAGTGTCCCCACCAGGTCCCCCAGTGCTCAGAATCGAGGGGGGGGAGCACATACCAGATGTTCAGGGAGGCAGGTGCTTTGGAAGTCGAAGAGGGATCTGGGTTGTGTGTGTGGGGAAATTAGGGGGACATTCATGGGGAGCTAACCGGGTCTTCACTCACTCTGTCTCCCACACCCTGTCTCTCCACCTCTTCTGCCTCTCCTGGCCTTTCTCTGTCTCTCTGCTTTCTTGGCCTGACCCTGTGGTCCTGTCTATTTTATTGTATTTCTCTCTCTCCCTATCTCTGAGTCTTTCTGTCTCTCTCCTTCCCGTGTGTCTCTGTCTTCATCCCCCCCTGCTCCCGTTCCTGTCTGGTTTTCAACCTCACCTTTCTCACCTCTCCTACGCATCTCTCTGCCTCCCATGTCTCTCTCTCATTTCTGCCTGTCTCTCTCTCCGTCTCGTCCTCCCTGGTCTTTGCTCTCCGTCCCCACCTCTGCTCAGGGTCCCTCTGCGGAGCTGCACGGGCTGCGCCGGCGCCGGCGCTCTGTCCCTGGCCTGGGGGTGCTGAAGGCCCCGGAGGGCGGCCTGGAGGAGGTACTGGCCTCTCTCACGTCGCTGAGCTTGGAGCTGGAGCAGCTACAGCGCCCTTCTGGCACTGCCGAGAGCCCGGGTCTTGTGTGCGATGAGCTACACCGCAACCACCCGCACCTACCAGACGGTGAGGTCCTGCTCCTCCCTAGGTGGGCGGGGAGCTGTCAGGTCCCGCCTCGCACACCCCCTCACCTGCCCCACCTGTGTCTTGCAGGGGATTACTGGATCGACCCCAACCAGGGCTGCGCGCGAGATGCACTCAGGGTTTTCTGCAACTTCACGGCGGGAGGAGAGACCTGCCTCTACCCGGACAAAAAGTTTGAGACCGTGAGTGCCTCTTGGAGGAGGGGCGTCGGTGGGAGGAGGAAGGGGGCTCTGGACACCATTCCATCCTCCCACCACCCTGGAAGGGCTGTTCCCGCCTCCCCTACCCCCAACACATGCATCAGGCTTTGTCGGGAACCTTCCCCTTCCTTTAACTAACATTTATTGAGCATCTAGTGTATGCCAAGTGCTGGGGCTACAGCAGAGAATATTTTTTTTTTTTTTTTAAAAATCCCTGCTTTTATGGAATTTGCAGTCTACAAGGAAGGCAGGCAAGAAAAGCTAGTAAAGAAATCCCAAATGGTGGCGAACCTTTAAGCAGAAGTTACATGTGCCAGGCCCATTCTGATAACTTAGATGCATTAACTTACTGAACCCTAATCACCAGATGTGGTAGTTCTGTCATCATCCTCAGACAGGGAAACTGAGGCATAGATTACCCATGACAGTCTGGCTCCAGAGTCCCAGCTGTTAACCACCAGGTCACCCGCCTCCTGATAGGCCCGACAGGCTACTGTTGGCCAGGCTGCAGGCTGAGGTGAGATCACCTGGTCACGGAGACATCCTGGACTTCTCCATCAGGGAGCCCGAGCCCAACAACCTCTCACACTGAGCACCACTTAGCAGTGGAGGGCAGTGGGCGAGCAGCACCAGCTCTGGGCCACCTGAATTGGAATCTGAGTCTGTCACCTCAGTATTTTAATCTATAAAATGGAGCTCAAGCAAGTATCCACCCCATAGGGTGGTTGTGCAATCATAGTACCAATGCACATATCAGGAAATACTAATTAAATACTGGCTATGTGCTAATATCTCTATTGCAGGTAAAACACAGAGCCAGCATGGGGCCTATGAAAATGCATAATAATGCTCTTCTAATATATTATTATTTTTAACTGATCAGAGCCCTGGGTTAGTGGGCTCTCAGACCTCCTGTGTATGGGGACTGGAGTGCAGGACTTGATTTCTAAACAGTTGCTGGCATCTGAGGCTGATCCTTCACCAGCTCACCTTCCTCCTGCTCAGAGAGAAGCTGGAGAGGGGAGTGAAGAAGGTTCTAGCTTTGGGTTCTCCAGAATTTGGGCAAGTCATTTATTTAGGAGGTGATCCCAGGAGGCAGCAGAAGGGGAGAGAGGAATGTGAGAGGGACGGAGGAAGGCAGCTAGTATTGTTAACATGTCACCACTGGATAGCCAAGGCTTTGTTCCACTGAGGACTTCTGGGAAACAGTGTGGAGCAAGCACCTGGAAGTTGTCCCACTTGGGCAGAGAGGAAGCTGGGCATTTACCCACCAACTCTTGTCAGTCACCAGTTGAGGGCTGGCTCAGAGTGCCGAGCCCCCTCCTCCTTTTGGGCCTGTCCCGTGCACAGCCAAGCCCTCTCCCATGGCCAGACAACAACCCAATAGTCCCGGATACTTGCAACCTGCAGCCTTCACTGATGGGAGGTAAATGCAGAATGGACACTGTGGGCACCTGCTACTGACCCTTCCTTCCTCCCCCAGGTGAAACTGGCTTCCTGGTCCAGGGAAAAGCCGGGAAGCTGGTATAGCACATTCCGTCGAGGGAAGAAGGTGAGTTGCTGAAGGCTGAAGGCTGAGTGGCAGAGGGTATGAACAGTTGTAGGAACCAGTGTGGGAAGTTGGGAGAGGGGCTCTGAGGACTGAGAGGAACAGGACAGACTCGCCTCTGCTTTTTTTGTGACTTGCAGGCTGGGGAGGGCAGAGAAGGGGGGCAGCATCAGATGTGTGATGGGAGAAGCAAGGGGTCATGGTGAAAACCCAGAGGCAGTACTGGAAGGAACTGAAGGCTCCCTGAGAAGTCCACAGCTCAGCTGAGGCCTAAAGTTTGAGTTGGGGTAGCAAGTTCAGTAGGACAAAAAAAAGTGTTGCAGGTGAGGGGACAGCATGTGCAAAGGCCCAGAGTCAGGATAGAGTCTGGTGAATTTAAAGAAGAAAAAGCAACTTACTCTGCTTTAGAGAGTGCAAGGGGGAATGGGATTAGAGAAGAGGTTGGGAGGGAGGTCCGTCTCCCCTACTGTGGGCCCGTCTCCCCTACTGTGGGCACAAGGGAGCCACTAGATGTGTTCAAATGAGGGAGGGGCTCAGATCAAATCTCTGTGTTAGAAAAATGCCTCTGGGGCTGGTGGTGGTGGTGAGGCTGGAAGCTGGGAGATCAGGAAGAGACAGATGTGTTGATCCAGGAGAGTGAGGAGGGGGCTCAGGCTGGTGCTGGTGCTATGGGGATAGAGAAGAGGTTATGATTTGGAACAATATCAAAGAGGGCAAGTTAATAGGACTTAGTTATTGATGAGTTTTAGGGGAGGGAGGAGACAGGTATGATGCCCAAGTCCCTGGCTTGGGGAACACTACGTCTGGTGAGATTCTGAGATACATAAATGAGAAGATTAGGTTTCAGGGGTGGGGGATCTTGGTTCAGTTTGGGACTAATTTATGTAACATATATGTATTATATGCTAAGCACTGGAAACAGCAGCAAATTAAACACAGTTCTTGACTTCATGAAGTTCATATTCTGCTAGGAATATAATCAATGAGACAGATGGACTAAAAAACAAATAAAGCTGTAATATAAGGTAAGGGAGAATCTTGGTTTGGATTCCCTCCAAACAGATCTTGAGACAAAGATTCAATTGCAAGTAGTTTATCTAGGAGGTGATTCCAGAAAATATCAGTTGGGGAATGTGGAAATGAGACAGGAAAGAGAAGAAAGTCAAAGGATACATTACCGAGTGCATTGTCTCAAGCTAGTGATATGTTAATAATATACTTTATTTAACCCAATATATCCAAAATATTGGCATATCCATATAAAGATTATGGAGGCATTTTACATTTTTTTTCCATACAAGTTCTCCAGAGTCTGGTGCATATTTTACATTTACAAGACATTGTAATCTGGAAGCTAAATTTCATTGAAAATGCTTGATCTGCCCTGGCCGGTTGCTCAGTGGTTAGAGCATAGGCCTGTAGACCAATGGGTCAGTTCTGGTCAAAGGCACGTACCTCAGTTGTAGGTTTGTATTGGCCGTGGTTGGGGTCTTGCGGGAGGCAGCCAGTCGATATGTCTCTCTCACGTCAATGCTTCTCTCTCATGTCGATGTTTCTCTCTCTCTCTCCCCCCCCCTTTATCTAAAGATAAATAGAAAAATAGTTTCAGGTGAGGATTAAAAAAAAAAGAAAATGCTTGATCTATACTTAGATTTCATAAAACCTGCAGTTGGAAAAGTAGGTTCCAGACTCAATTTGTTCCAAACCTAAGTTTTCTGATAACGGGATGGAGACTAAGTTAAGAGTTATGAATTTAAGTGAAGAATTTGAATTAAATAATTAAATAAAATTAAAATTAAACAAATAAGTTTCAAAAAAATGTCTCAGTTCCATCAGCCACATTCTAAGTGCTCTATAGCCACACGTGCCTAAGGACTCACAAGAGAACCAAGGTTGGCTGGACGCCTGGGCTAACGGGACGCTCTCTCCTCCTGCTTCGTCCCACCCTAGTTCTCCTATGTGGACGCTGATGGGTCCCCAGTGAATGTGGTACAGTTGACCTTCCTGAAGTTGCTGAGTGCCACAGCCCGCCAGAGCTTTACCTACTCCTGCCAAAACTCGGCTGCCTGGCTGGATGAAGCTGCTGGCAACCATGGCCGTTCCCTTCGCTTCCTCGGGACCAATGGCGAAGAGCTGTCCTTCAACCAGACAGCAGCAGCCACCATTGCTGTCCCCTATGATGGCTGCCGGGTAAGAGAGAGGGGCAGGGGCTGACCAGAGTTGGGGGGGCTCTGCTGCCCTCCCCCTAACTCACCATCTGTGTCTTCCCATGGTCAGCTCCGGAAGGGACAGGCGAAAACCCTCTTGGAGTTCAGCTCTTCTCGAGTGGGGTTTCTACCCCTGTGGGACGTGGCGGCCACCGACTTTGGCCAGACAAATCAGAAGTTTGGGTTTGAACTGGGCCCTGTCTGCTTTAGCAGCTGAGAGTCTTGGGGTGGGCGGGACCATGAGGGAGCCCTAGATGGGGCACACTTGGTGCTGAGGCTTTGAAGCCACCATATTTATCATTTCCTGTGACTGTGGAGTCAGGGGAAAGTTTGCTTATCATGGTCAAACAATATTCCTTCTCCATTCCGGGGGGCTGGACTCCCTTGGCCCAAGAGTCCAACTTCCTCCCACTGCACCCCTGCTGGAATGACTGTAGTCTGGCTCTTTCTTCCCTCTATGCCCATTCAACCCGCAGTCTCCACCCCCGACCCCTCTGCAATAGACTAATTCAGAGCTGATGAATGCCCTCCCCACACCCGGCTTTCCCTTTTCAGTCAGTGCCCCCAACACCCTTTGGTGCTACCCTTCCCAATAGTTGAGCACTGGATGTCTCTTGATTCCAGGCAGGGCTCCTTCACTCACTCCTATTTTCAGGTGGGTTCAGAGTGAAGGAACTGAAGTCAGACTACAGAGGGAAGTGGGACTTCCCTGGACTGAGTTGTGTGTTCCTTTTGCTGCCTCAGCCCAGTTCTGAATACAGGTCCCATCATATCTCGCCATGCCACATGGTTTGGGGATCAAGATACGGGGTAAATCAGGATCCTAATGGTGCTGCCCTATTTATACCTGGGTCTGTATTAAAAGGGAAAATCCCTCTGTTGTATATTTAATCTGCTTCCTCCTTCCAGAAGGCTGGGACATGATAAAAGAGATTCTATCATGACCCCCTCATTCCCCCCAGGGCATAATTGGCATCTCAAGTCTGAGAATAAAGCAGTGAACTGTGTCCCTGTCTGTGTCCTTCATCTGGTGCTGGATATGTCTTTCTTAGGGTCTGGTGTTTGTCTCATCCAAAGTATTGCCACCACCTATCTTTTTTTTTTAATCCTCACCTGAGGATATTCTTCCACTTATCTTCAGATAGAGTGGGAGGGAGGGAGGGGAAGAGAGAGAGAGGGAGGGGGAGAGAGAGAGAGAGAGAGGGAGAGAGGGAGAGAGAGAGAGGCAGACAGACAGATGCAAGAGAGACACTGATTGGTTGCCTCCCCATTGACCCTGACCTGGGCCGGGGACTGAACTGCAACTGAGGTACGTGCCCTTGACCAGAATTGAACCTATGACTCTTTGGTCTGTGGGCCGACACTCTAATTGCTGAGCCAAACCAGCCAGGGCACCACCACATGTCTTAATTAAGTGTGTCCTTTGGTGGAGGTGGCTTGAGGGGGTGGGGGAACCCAATTATAATGGGATTCACTGGGCCTGTTTAACTCAGGAAAAGTTGAAAATAACCAGATCTCTAAGAGAGTAGATCTTAACTTTTCTCACCACAAAAAATAAATAATAATTATATGATGTAATACAGGCGTTAGCAAGTCATTATGCAACATATATGTGGATCAAATCAACACATTGTACACTTCAGCTTACATCTAATATGTTATATATATATATGTTAGTTATATCTCAGTAAAGCTGGAAAAAATGTGAACCCTCTAGGAAGGCATCAAAATTGAAAATATGAAGAAAGAAAAAGAAAAAGAAAGAAAGGGAGGGAAGGAAGGAAGGAAAGAATAGAAGAATAAAAAGAAGAAAAAAAGAAAGAAAGAAATGTAGCTAGATCTCCATGTTAATCTTGATTAGTCCTGGAGACACTGGATGAGCTGAGGGGATGCACTGAGAGATGATATGGGATGTGGTTTTGATTTGGGATGAAATAACTAGATGCCAAAGGTTTGGGTGGCAAGTTGGGATGAGTTGAGGGTGAAGAAAATTGAGAACTGAGTTGAGCCTTGAAGTGAGTTTAGGGTTGGCAGTTAGGAGTTGGGTCAGTTTTGTTGGAAATGGGTTAAAGATAAGGAATTGGAGGTTGGTTTGGAATGAGTTGAATGAGTGGATTGAGTTAGGGGTGTGGAATTGGATGTGGGTTACATTGAATTAGGGTTGATTGGGATGGAGGGTGAACTGAGTGGAGGTCAGTGGCAGTCGCTATGAGTAGAGGGTGGGAATTGGTAGTTTGGTAAGCCAAAATGGGAGCAGTTAAAATGAGAGTTGAGTCTGAGGTGGCTTGAATTGGGAGTTAGATGTTGGGTTGAGTTTTTTTTTTTTAAACAGATTTATTGAGATGTAATTCAATACCATAGAATTCACCCATTTGAAGTATACAATTAAATGGCTTTTAGTACATTCACAAACTTGTGCAACCATCACTACGATCAATTTTAGAACATTTTCACCACCTCAAAAAGAAATCCCATGCCCTGGCCGGTTTGGCTCAGCAGTTGGAGCGTTGCCTGCAGACCAGAGGGTCCTGGGTTTGGTTCCCACTAGGGGCACGTACCAAAAAAAAAAAAAAAAAAAAAATCCCATATCCATTAGCAGTCACTCTCCATTTTCCCCAAACCTCTCAGCAGTAGGTAACCATTAGTCTTTATGTCTGTATGGATTTTCCTATTTTAGACATTTCATATCAATGGAATCTTGCAATATGTGGCCCTTTTTGTCTCGCTTCTTTCATTTAACATAATGGTTTTAAGGTTCATGCTGTAATATGCATCAGTAGTTTGTTCCTTTTATTGTTGAATAATATTTCATTGGCTGGATATACCACATTTTATCTACCCATTCACCAGTTGATGGAGATTGTTGAGTTAGGAGTGATGGAGGGCGTATTGAGTTGGGTAAGGTGGGATTGGGTGGGGAGAGGTAGTAGGTTGGGGTGAGTGCTTCCCCCAAACCCAGGGCTTACCTACTATTCCTGCCACCAGGCCCCCTAAGGTCACCTGAATATTTGTCTTGGATTCCCTTATTCAATAAATGTCACTAACAGTCTTACCACCACGAAGAATGTTGATGTCCAGAGGTTGATCGATGAGTTCACACACTCACTTATTCATTTTTTATTCTATTGAGTGTTTACTCAGTAGCAGGCACTGTTCCAGATGCTGGGGACAGAAGAGCAGTGTGGTGTCTGCCCTCAGAATCTTACTCCTGAGGGAAATGATCATACTGTATAAATGTGATTTCAGTAGTGGTTGTTGTGAAGGAAAATCAAACAAGTTACATGACCAGAGAGTGATGGAATGGGGGGTTATTTAAAGTAGGGTGGTCAGGCCTGGCCGGTGTGGCTCAGTGGTTGAGCATCGACCCATGCACCAGGAGGTCACTGGATTGATTCCCAGTCAGGGCCCATGCCCAGGTTATGGGCCAAATCTCCAGGGAGGGGGGCATGCAGGAGACGGGTAATTGATGTTCTCTCTCATAGATGTTTCTAACTTTCTCTCCCTTCCCCTTCCTCTCTCTCTAAAAATCAATAAAGAAAAAAATTAAAAATAGGGTAGTTGGGAGAGGCTTCATTGAGGAGGTGATGACATGAAGGTGTGAGGGAAGAGCCATGTGGAATCTTGAAGAAGTATTCCATACACAGCAAAGAACTCAGAAACCTTCAAATATCAATGAGGGCTCTTGAGGGGATGTTGTTTCTTTTGGTCACCTATTTTGATTTTTTACTTTTGTTGATTTCTTCACCCTGAGTTCTCTTCTATCAATTCAAATGTAGACCTGGACCTGCTTTCCTTTTAGTTCCCAAATATCTTCACCTTAAGAATGCATGTGGTAGCACCAATGCTATGTGCGATTTTCCTTTTCCTGGGCACACTGAAAACACATTTCCCAGCTGCCCCTTCCTTGCAGTTAGATTGGGGCCATGTGACTGAGTCTTGGCTAATGGGAAGTGCATAGCCATAAAACCTCCTGTGCAGTTTTCCACGAGCTTTCTCCCCTTTCCTCCCCATGACTTTGGAGATCCCATGTGTAAGATGGAGGTGTCATATGCAAAACTAGAAAGGGACCTGGTTCCCCAAGTTACTGCTTAGAGGAGTGCTGCCAAGCAGATCTCCATCAGAAATGACCAAGAAATAACTTGTTTTAAGCCCTTGAGATTTATTTATTTTTAATCCTCAAGCTCACCCGAGGATATGTTTTTCATTGATTCTAGTGAGAGAGGAAGGGAGGGGGAAAGAGAGAAACATTGATGTGAGAGAGAAACATCAAAACATTGATTGGTTGCTTCCCATATTCCCCGAACAGGATCAACCAGGGTTGAGATCTACCTCACAACCTGAGTATGTTTCCTAACCAGAATCAAACCTGTGACCTTTTAGTGTATGGGATGATGCTCCAACCAACTGAGCCACACTAGCCAGGGCTAAGCCCTTGAGATTTTAAAGGGTTGCTTGTTACAGCAGCTAACATTAATTATCCTGACTAATACAGTGAATGCATCTAACTTTTACTGAAGGTTGGCATATGAAAGTCTGTGTGAACCAAGAGATATCACTGCAGGACAATCAACAAGTTAAAATGTAATATTGAATATTCTTATCCTCAGAAGTGGCCCACCACTGTGAATTTGTCACTGGAGGTGTGCTCTCCTCAAGTCTGGATTTCCTGCCGTTCTGCTGCCCTTTCCCATCTTTCCCTCCCTGACATCTGTCCTTACCTACTCTCTTCGTCCCCTTTCTCTTAGGCTGTCTATACTCAGATCAAATTTATCTCACTTTCTTATGAAAAACCATTCACTCAACCCTTCTTACAGACCATATCTTCATGCCCACATGATCCATGGTTAGTTCAACTAACACTATTAATAATGATAATAATGACAGAGCATGTACATGCCAAACACTGTTCATCAAATGCTTTCCCTGGATGAATTAACGTGTTTCTCATCACAACCTTAAAGGCAGTGGCTGTGACTATCCCCATCTTGCTGGTAAGGGAACTGAGGAACAAAGAGGTGGAGTAACTTGCCCAGACTCCAGAGCTAGAAATTTTGCTGAACAAAAACTCATTATCTCCTCTGAGAGAATTTTTTTCCTATTTTTGTTGTTGTTGTTAATTCTCACCCAAGGGAACCTGCAACCCAGGTGCGTGCCCTTGACCAGGAATTGAACCCGAGACTCTTTGGTCTGTGGGTTGACACTCTAACTGCTGAGCCAAACTGGCCAGGTCCTTTCCTATTGTTTAAAAAAAATTATATCTATGCTGGCCAGGTGGCTCAGTTGGTTGGAGTATCGTCCTGTACACCAAAGGTTTAGGGTTTGATTCCCAGTCAGGGCACATTCCTGGTCAGTGGGGGCATGTACAGGAGGCAAACAATTTGTTTCTCTCTCACAAAGATTCTCTCTCCCTTCCTCTCACTAAAAAAAAAAAAAAAAAAAAAAATCAATAAACATATCTTGGAGTGAGGATAAAAAAGTACATACACAGCCCTGGCCGGTTTTCTCAGTGGTTAGAGCATTGGCCCATGGACCAATGAGACCCAGGGTTTGATTCCCGCCAAGGGCATGTACCTCAGTTGTGGTTTGTCCCTGGCCCTGGTCAGGGTCCTGTGGGAGGCAACCAGTCAATGTGTCTCTCTCGCACTGATGTTTCTCTCTCTCTCTTCCTCTCTCCTTCCCTCCTACTCTGTCTAAAGATAAATGGAAAAATATCCTTGGGGGAGGATAAAAAAAAATACATACACATATATATGTAATTACATCCAATAAATAGCCCAGAGTTTAAACGCAGATCAGCTAGCATCAGCTTTTGCAATTCCTACCCCACCCTGATGCAGGTACTTTGGATAGGAGGAACAATTAATAGGGTAATAAGAACTCTTTAATTAGCTAAAAGCTCATTAAAGAATTAGAAATTGGGCACTGCTAAATTAAAGGGTAATTGACAAAGGTGTAAGGAGGGACTTCT